TTCCTTAGAGCAAAAAGCAGTTGTTGCCTTTTACGGATCAAAACAGGTAAATGTAGATATTCAAAAAAACGTTCAAAAAACTTCGTATTTGACGTTTCAGAGAATCCCGATCATTTTCAAAAACATTTTTGGAGGGATTAAAAACTCTTTCGTCTCTGGCCTTCTCTCACTTGCCAAACAACAAGCGACAAAGCTTATCTCTGAGCGAAGTTTTTACTGTAAAAATAGATTTTATTATACCTATTTGAAAAAATGGTGTCAAGTAGGTTGACTCTATACGTCCTACCCCTTAGAGACAGCTTTTAGTGCAATTTTCAATATAGTGCAATCGAGTCTATAAATTTGCTTTCAAAAATGACGGTTACAATCTGAATTTGAAGTTCAGTATAAAGGAGTGATTTTGATGCCCTTAAATATCACCTAAACCTTAGATATCATCTATAAGTAAAAACTTTGAATTCAAATTGTAACCACTATTTTTGACAGCAGATTAATAGATTCAATTGCACTATATTGGAAATTGCACTAAGAGCCATCTTGAAGGCGTAGGAAGTATAGAGTCAGCCTGCTTGATGCCATTTTTCCAAATAGGTATAATAAAATCTATTTTTACTGGAACAACTTTGCTCAGGATAAGGTTCTCCGCTTATTGCTTGGCAAGTGAGAGAAGGCCAGAGACGAAAGAGGGAAATGTGGTTGAAAAACAATGGTCATTCCTTAGCATAGACGGCATGATATTTTATGAATTGATCAATGAAACAACATACAAAATTGAACGTCAATACTAACACTATTCACTGAACATTTCATTTGATACGCCTCCAATGATAAGTATAAGTACTGTCCACCTGTCGCGATGCTTATGCATTTATTGTATTTATATTTATTTTTCTTTTGAAAGGACGAGGAACTGGACAGGAGCGATGAGGCCAGAGACAACTTACATTCGGCAAGTGTCAAGAAGAATGTTACTATACATGCAAAAGCTGAATCAATTCCCACCGCAGAATGTGATCAGTCTGCACCCAGTCAGTCTGGTTCTTCATCAGTGAATACTGGACTGTCAGGAAAGAAGAAAAAAGTTACAGTTTTCTGTTGTTTTTGTGAATGTGAGGTTTTTCATTTTCCACGTCATTTGAAAAGAAACCATACGAATGAAATTGAGGTACAAGAATTTCTAGCTTTACCTGTTTTAAGCCGTAAAAGGCAACAACTGCTTTTTGCTCTAAGGAAAAAGGGTAAATTTATCAACTCTACGCCTTTGAGGGGAGAGGGGATAAAACCTGTTAGAAAAGGTGCGGAAAAAACGGAATATCTTCCATGCATCCACTGTATGGGTTACTATTCTGCAAAGAACTTATGGCGTCATCGCAAACAATGTGATGCAAACCCGGAGAAGGGATCGTCGGGCAAACGATCACAGGCTTTAGGACAAACTCTGTTATTGGGTAATATAAAGGTAGATATTGAGCTCAAAGTAAAAGTATTTCCTCGCATGAGACCTGACAAAGTTTCATTGGTTGCGAAAAATGATAAATTAATATGTGCGTTTGCTTCCCGATATCTGAAACTCCATAGGGAGCTACATTTTGTCCAAGTCGTTTCTAGGAAAATGAGAGAATTGGCTCGACTTCTAATGGAGATAAAAAAATTAGATTTGTCTGTGGTTACCCTATTTGATGCTCTAAAACCACACAAATATGACATACTTGTGAAAGCAACTAAATTAACATCAGGATATGATGACGAAAGCCAAACTTATAAATCCCCCACATATGCTATGAACATGGGTACAACCTTAAAACAATGTTGCGATGTGGCTCTTTTACACGTTCTAAAAAAATCTAAGTCACTGCCAACAGTAGATAATGCAAACGTTGAGGCAGATATAAAAACATGCATCCAACTCATAGAGGCAAATTGGCGATTCGATATTTCAACCAATGCTGCTAATGACCTCAACCTAAAAAAATGGAATAAGGTCACTTTGGTACCGTTAGCTACTGATCTCAAACTATTGAAGGATTACCTCATGAAAGTAGCTGCAAATCAGGTATCAATGCTACAAAAAAATCCAAGCAATGAAAAAGCATACACGTCTTTACTCGAGACAGTTTATTGTAGGTTGCTTTTATTAAATAGGAGGCGGCCTGGAGAACTACAACGACTTCCCATACATGTTTACAAATCCGCTATATCTGAGGAACACAATCAAGCCTATGAGGAGTTTTCAGAAGCAATAACAGAAACCGAGAGAATTCTAATGAGATCTTTCAAACGAATAGTAATCCGTGGAAAAAGAGGCAGAGGTGTTCCAGTTCTTATAAGCAAGGATGTACAGGATCACTTGAATCTAATACTAGAGTGTAGAGATAATATTCAGACGGTGTCGAACATATATCTTTTCGGTAAACCTAACTCCCAAGAACCCATTATTGGTTACAAGGTAATCAAAAAGTATGCGTCGTTATGTCAAGCGAAAAATCCGCATGCTCTGACTAGCACCCGTCTGAGAAAGCACTTGGCAACCTTGACTCAATTGTTCAACATGTCAGAAAATGACATGGAACAACTCGCATCTTTTATGGGACATACACTAGGTATCCACCGTGCATCATACCGATTACCAGATGACGTCTACCAAACGGCTAGACTCTCCAAGATTTTGACGTTGATGGAGAAGGGCGAGGCAGGTCATTTCAAAGGAAAATCCCTGGACGAAATTAATTTGAATCTAGACGAGAATTTGATATCAGAAGCGCAGCAGGATGATAACCACCCAGAGCCTCTATGCCAATATGAAGATATCCAAGAACCGCATCCAGATCCGGAATCTCAGCAAGTGGATATAACGTTACCAAAGAAAAAGTCCAGGGTTCTAGTTCCTTGGACTGAAGATCAGAAAAATTTAGTCTTGGTTCACTTTGGAAATCACATTAAATCTAAGAGGGCCCCAAAAAAGGCTGAATGCGATAACCTCATCGCAAGTCATACTGAATTATTACATAATAAGGACTGGCTAAAAATCAAAGTTTTCATCCAGAACCAGTACCGAAAGAAAAAATGAATACCATCTCAATTTATGAGCGAACCCGTTTTTTTAATAAAGTAGAAATTAAGTATGAACATATGTATCACAAACTAAGTATAAGCATTTTTTAGTAGTTTCATTTTGTCAATGTATAAATTCAGTTTTCTTCTTATGTATTTTCGTAAATAAAATTCATACCGATATTATTTGCGTTTATCCTTCGCTCCTATAACCGCGTGGTTGTCAAAGCACAAAATGTTGAAAAATGTAGGTCATTGTCCGAAAGCGAAGTTTATGCAATTTTCTCTTCGTTTGTTGACCACTCTGCAACCACTGCAGCTAAAGCGAATTTTTTGTGATTACATTAATTCCCTGCCAATAGGCGCGGTAAGTAAAAGCATATTTTTTAAATTGTAAAACTAGGATTAGCATATTTGTTTTTATTTTATTCTATAGGAAATTGGATTTGAGCATCACCTTTATCATATTTGAGAGTGTTTTTTTGTGAACATTTTTCCTTAATACTACACCATCCTTGATTTTCTATTCATGTGGTTGTATTTGCATAATGGTCTATCTATATTACCCTTTTTAATTTAGCTTGAGTAGCTTTACGCTAAACTTTGCTCTTTGTTCATATAATCATGTATTGTACACATCGTGACCCAATATTCCATGGACGTGAGATTACTAGTTATTTTCAGACTGAGAATAAGTCGATTGCACATAAGTTATCTGTATTCGAAGGTGCTTCGTTAGGGGGCATCAAAGTTTTCTTTTAAAAACACGTTTTCCAAGATATTTCAAAAGCCGGTAGGTCGATTTTAATGAAATTTGGAACACATATGCTCTGCTCAGCGTTCTAATATTTGCCTTTTACGAAAAACTCCAGAGCTTTTTGGAAGGGTGAAAACTACCCCCACACCTACATAAATTGTAGCAGAATTTTTCCCAACTTTCCTCATGACCGATTTTTTTATTTATTCCATCCTTTGTCTCTCATTAAAACGAGATATCTTTCATAGTTTTCGAGAAAAAAAAACCTTTTTTGGGGCTGGTTTCTAAAAAAATGTTTTAACACATCAAGCGTAAAAATCTAGTTGGCAAATAAACGAAGCACTTTTGCATAGAGGTGACTTATGTCAAATCGACTTGTTATGAGTCTAAAACCTGATTGGAAAAACATTTTTTTCCGAAAACTAGTAATAATAATCGTAATCATAATCATAATCACAACCATAATCGTAATCATAATTATATTAATAATGATAGTAATCGAACAAATATATTATTGCTGCATTACGGTACTCTCGGTCACGGACGCCCCTATTATAATGCCTGACGGCGAACTGGGCCGCACCAGACATAGAAAGGTGAAAAGCCGATCCTCTAACACAGCAAATATAATAAAATACCTAATACAGCGATGCCAATATTAAGGAGGATCTAAAAGCGATAATCTGGATACTGAATACCCGGCAGATGACCGATCCACTGTAGACCTGACTGGTAATATTTGATAATATACGGGCTGAATACCCAAGCGATCGTGAGTCCACCAAATCGGCGCGGCAAAACCCTGAACTACGGTACCCAAATTCGGCGAAAAACATGATCTAGGTCATCCCTCTGAAATTTTGCCAGGTGACAGAGGGGGGCCTGAGGGGCCGATAGGTGGAATTTGCGATAGGTCCTCCTTATACGGAGGACCTATCAGAGCGGAGGACCTATCGACTCTAAAAAGCCCATGAGTGGAGGACCGATCCATCAGAATCTACATATATATATATATATATATATATATATATATATATATATTGCCGTTTCCATTATAAGCAAGTTCATTATAAGTGGATTCCACTGTAAATTCAAACAATTTTAATCATCCTCTAAAACACTCTGATCTTTTGCGACACATTTTCGATCATACTATTTTGTTTTGTTTCCTTAATGTTTGCCTTCTCTCTAGAAATCTATACCAAAGGAGGAGACGTGATAATACTTCAACTAGCTTCAGACGGTCGATATACCACAGGAACTTGTGGGTGAGCGCACCGCCTGACGTCACTGGCAGATACAGAGACATCTCTCCTGCATACTTCAGGTCAGTATTCCAAATATTACAAGCGTTACAAGAGCGTGTCCAACTCAAAACGGAAGGGGGGCACTTTCAAAAAAATTGTTTTCTTTGGCTTTGTATCGTATTAGAGAACTGTTATAACCCAGTCATAATACAGTTTCTTAATTTTGGAAACAATATACAAAATCAAGAAATGAGTGTGTAGTAGTACTCAGGAGGGAAAAGAAAAAATACTATGATAAGAAGATCGATAGCAATAAAAATAATTATAAAATGATGTGGAAAACGTTAAAGAATATTGTTTCTCTGAATTATCTAAAATGCGTTTCGAAGATGGGGTAGTGACAGAAAGCAGAAAGAATGAACACTTATTTTATATAAATGGTAAATAAAATAGTGAAGACGATGATGACGGTCCATTACAAGTATGTCAGAATTCATCAATGAAGCAATTTAGGACAATTAACATCAACAATCTAAGAAGAGCTATCTCAAAATTGAAATCTAATAAAAATCCAAGTGAGAGTCTCTCAAAAAATATTCTAAATGATTGTTTCAATATAACTGGAGGGAAATTATTATTATTGGTGAATCATTGTTTAGTACATGGTGAATTCCCATCAAAATTAAAGTGTTCCACCATTACTCCTGTGCCAAAAGTTCAAAATTCTCAGCTGTATACAAGTATGCGACCGATTAATGTCTTGCCCGATGTCGAGAAGCTGTTCGAAGGGAAAATATACGAACAAATCATAGAATTCATTGAAGAAACTAAAATTTTGATAAAAAACAAGCTGGATTTAGAAAAAAATGTTCCACAGAAACGGCAATCCAAATGGTGGTGGAAGACTGGAGAAGAAGTATTGATGAGAAAGAATATATTGTGACAATATTTTTAGACTTCAAAAGGGCATTTGTGACTATAGATAGGGAAAAATTGTTAATGAAATTGCGTCACTATGGCTTTAAAGGATCAGTATTACGCATTTTACAAGATTATTTAGTAAATAGAAGTCAAAAAACTAAAGTTGGAAATATTATGTCAACTGTTCAAAATATATCAGTAGGGGTGCCTCAGGGGAGTAAATTAGGGCCGTTACTATTTATTATTTATATAAATGATATCTCTGACATTTTAGAATACTGCAAAATTCAAATATTTGCGGATGATACACTTATATATATAGCACATACGCATTTGGACACTGCTTTAGAACTGTCAAATAGTGATATTGAATAAATTATGATTGATAATCATGTATTCCAAAAAAATTGTGTATAACACTATAATTCTTCCCCATTTTTTATATTGTTCAACCATCTTGTTTACAGCAAATGAAAACATATTTTCAGAATTACAAATTCTACAAAATAAAGCTATGAGAATCATTTTAAATAAAAACAAATATTCTAGGATTAAGTCTATGTTAGAAGAAATCATGCATTACCACATTTAGAGAACATCACAAAATTAACTAGTCATTATCGAAACTAGAGGCAGTACAGATTTTCATCTGCAAAATTGTAATAGTAGCATAACTAGTAAATCTATATTTCAAAAGGGAGTATTTGAATTTAATAAATTGAATAATAATATTAAACAAAGTTCGAATTTAAAAATGTTTAAGGTGAAATTAAAAAATCACTTTATGGATAATCAAAATACATAGTGACGTAATTTTAATAGACAAGAATGTAAAATCACAGAAAATGGATTTTACCGTTCACCAAACAGTGATGCAGATACATTTTTAACGTTTTTTGAAGAAAAATGCGAAGAAATGTGGAATTTTAGAAACAATATAATACTTTTAGGTGATTTTAATTTAAATTATTATGGTAAAAGCATGAAAACAAGAAAATTGAAAGAAACCATAAACAACTATGGGTTCAAGCAAAAAATTGAAGAGAGTACAAGAATAACATCATTATCAGAGACTTTGTTAGATCTTGTTATTGTAAATTTCGAATGTGCAGGGATTAAAGCTGTACATACACCTAAAGTTAGCGATCACAGTTGGACAATGCTGCCCTTGGTAGGGCATTTTTCTGATACAAAAATTAAGAAAATCGTAAATACTATTAAGTACGAAAAACTTGAACGAGAACTTGCTGCTATTGGAATTTTGGTGAGAATATGGAAAAAATATATGACAACATAATAGGAAATATAAAAACTTGTTTAGATCTTGCAACTGATAAAAAAGTGATTTGCTCGACAAAAAATACACCCTGGTATAACAAGAATATTAAGGCAGCTCAAAATTTGAGAGACAAACAATACAATAAATGTATATTCACAAAATCAAATGATGATTGGGAGGTATATAAAACTCTTAGGAATAAATGTGTATATGTAATTAGAGAAGAAAAAAGAAAATTCTACGATAAACAAATCGATAATAACAAGTGCGATAGTGTAAAGATGTGGAAGACTTTAAAAAGACTGATCAATTCGAAGCCGCATGATTGTGTAAATCAAGTTCAATTCGAAAACGGTACCGAAAGAAATTCTTTGGTGATTGCAAACAAACTAAATGAATATTTTGTGGAAAGTATTGTTGATATTGTAGGTACTGCCAATGCTGCACCTGACTATATGAAAATCAGTTTCCAGGGGGAAATGTTGAATACACTTTCAAAATTTCACAGCGTATCATTGAATTATCTAAAAAAAAGTAAACAGTTTAAAATCAAATAACAACTGTGCCGAAATGACTACTAAAAACGTGCTGAAAAACTGTTTCGAAATTTTGGGATATCCTGTATTAAATTGGATCAATTGTTCACTGAGAAGCAGTTCTTTCCCTGAAAATTTGAAATGCTCTACAATAACACCAGTTCCCAAATTAAAAAATTCTAAAAGATGCACCGATATGAGACCAGTAAATGTGTTACCAGACATTGAAAAATTATTAGAGTCCATAGTGCATGACCAATTAATGCAGTTTATAGAAGAAAACAAAATTTTAGTGGAGGCGCAAGCAGGCTTTCGAAAAAAATATTCCACAGAAACAGCTTTCCAGTTGGTAACTGAGAATTAGAAAAGAGCCATAGACTCAGAAGAAGTTGTCATAGCAGTATTTTTGGATTTGAAGAGGGCATTTGAAACGATTGATAGAGATATTTTGTTAGATAAATTGAAGGCATATGGTATAACAGGAAGTGTTTTAGATTGGTTTAGAAATTATTTGTTTAAAAGGATGCAAGTTACAAAAGTTAATGACACTATTTCATCAAAAATTGAAAATACGTTGGGTGTTCCACAGGGCAGTATCCTGGGATCACTTCTTTTTATTTTATATATAAATGATTTACCTACCATAGTCAAAAAATGCAAAATTCAGATTTTCGCCGATGACACTATGATTTATATAAGTACTAAAAATATTCAGTCTGGTATCTCTTATATAAATGAAGACTTGAAGCTTGTCTCAAAATGGTTAGCATCTAACAGATTAAAATTAAATGCAAGTAAAACGAAAGCCTTGTTAATCGGAAAAAAAACAATGTACAAATGTTCAACTGAATATTGATGGTGAAGATATTGAATTCGTAGAAAATTTTAAATACCTGGGAGTTTTTGTTGACTCTCGATTAATTTTTGATATTCATTATGAAAAAGTTATAAATAAGATTAGTAGTAAAGTGGGATGTTTATCGAGAGTTTCTGGATGTCTGAGTTCATATAGCAGAAAAATTATCTATAATACCATTCTTCCAAATTTCTTGTACTGTTCGACTATTCTATATTTAGCAAATAATTCCATTTTTGAAAGACTGCAAATTTTACAAAATAAGTGCATGAGAATAATACTAAATAAAGATAAATATACTCCAATTAGGCAAATGCTTAGCAAATTAAAATGGCTCAATGTAAAAAAAATTATCAAATATCTTGTAATGATATTCATTTATAAAGAAAAAATAATATATTTCCATCAAGTCTAACTAATTTAACATCATCAAATGTCGACCATCATTTACATAATACCAGAAATAAAGATGACTTCCATTTAATGACCAAAAAGTATAACATATGCTACAAATCTGTATTCCATCAAGGGTTGATTGAATATAATAAATTATACTCGGAGATAAAAGACCAGAAAACTTTGACAAAATTTAAAGTAAAATTGAGAAATCACTTGTTAAATCTACAATTATAGGTTGCCCAGCATTTACATCATACACCATATGGCTTGAATTTACTAGTTCTAAGTTGTTTACAATTGTTCTGTTTATGTAGCCAAATGTGCTAAATAAATCTTTCTACTACTACTACTACAAAAATATGTAACCGAATCATTATAAAAAATTGACATTGTAGCATTAATGCTAAATAAATCTTTAAAAACAACAACAACCAATCGGTCGGGACCATGAGAAACAAATTATTTTATCGATAATTACAGAGATTGTCCTGGCGCTCGCACGCGCCTCGTACCGTGGCTGAACCGCGAGCTGAACGCGTTGCTCTACGAGGACACCCGTTTGGTGATGCACCTGGTCGACGTCATCTTGGACCACTTGCCTCGCCATCACATCTGCAGTCGAACGTTCCGGAACCTTCTGGTAAATTATCTGGAAGGCAAGACGGACCATTTCATCCACGAGTTTTACAACTTCATGCGGTCGCCGTTTGACATGGTCGGATATGACAGGCATGTCGTGTACACGGACGCGCCCAGGTCACCGCCCCCGTACGTCCTGCTGCCTGGTAAGTATCCGTTATTTTAACACGCTTTTATAAGCTTGGCCTGTATGTATGTACAGGAACGGACAAAAGTTTATAGTCAAATATGAATATTTACCTAAATACCTTTAGAAAACGAATTCATGCTTCATTGCTCCGTAAACAAATGCGTTAATAGTAGAAAAACTAAATTCCTTGGTTTTACATTATCTACAAGTCTGAATATAAGCACTTCTTTATGAGGGACAAAAATATGTAGACAAATTCTTTTCAACATTAGTACAGTTTCGTGTCAGAAGAGGATTAGTTTGTGTTCATCATGTATTGTGGAATAAGTTGAGTGATTTTAAGACCATGCCGCGTGGTCCAGAAATTTTCTTTCGATGTGAAACCTAAGATCATTGAGTTATACAAAGTCAACATGTCAAAAATTTGAAGCTTAAGCGTAAAGCAATATTGAACAAATATAAACAAAAAGGTATCTTGGAAGCGTCTAAGAGAAGTGGTCGGTCTATAAAACTAAATGCTAGATCAGTTAGATTAATAAAAGTCCAAAGATCCGTTTAAAACCCCAAGACAAAAGCCGAAATCGAGACAAAAGGAATTGTCAGTGTTTCTACGAAAAATATAAGTAGAAGATTAAATTATAAGAAACCGTTAATCTCGAGGAAAAACCATAAGGACCGATTACACAATTTGCATCTTGATTGGAGCATCTGCATACAGTATGATCTCTATACCATGCTCGTTTTTGAATGCTTGCGGCAAATCATTCACATGTATGAGAAAGAGGAGTGGACCCAACACGGAACCCTGAGGCACACCGGTCTCTGCATGCATAGGTTCACTAGTTCGATTATTACAGCAAACAACCTGGAATCTGTCTGAGAGATAGGATCGCATCAGCTTTAAAGCAGTTCCCCTAACGCCATAAAATTGTAGTTTTTCTAATAAAATATTTCTATTCACACAATCGAAAGCGGCAATCAGATCAGTAAATAGTCCTAAAAACTTGTTTTTATTTTCAAAGGCCTGCCTTATACAATTTACAAAAGTTAGTATGGCATCTGTTGTCGTTTTGTTTTTCTTAAAGCCATGTTTGGATCAGATGGTGTTCATTACTTTAGACGTCCTAGTGGACAAATATTGTCCACAGTCAAACATGGAGGCGGGTCTGTTATGGTTTGGGGGTGCTTTTCGGGGTTTGGGATGGGACCTTTACATAGAATAGATGGCATTATGGATAAGTTTGTATACCCAGACATACTAAAGCATGTCATGTTACCCTATATGAAAGACAATATGCCGTTAAGATCAATCTTCCAGCAAGATAATGACCCGAAGCACACTTCAAATCTCGCAAAGAAATTTTTTCTGGATGAAAAAATACCAGTTTTCAATTGACCTTCACAGTCTCCCGATATAAACCCCATTGAAAATCTATGGGAATACTTAGATAAGCAAATACGAGATAAAAATTATTCAAACAAGGATGACCTTTTTGCTGCTTTAGAGCAAAAGTGGAGACAGATTGATATCTAGAAACTTCTACAATCTATGCCGAAACGATGCCAGCCGGTGATTGATAATAATGGTTATGCTACAAAATATTAACACAAACATGGCCGGCTTTCTATAATTCAATGAACTTTGCTTCTTTTTTCTATAATTGTTTTGCTTTGTCTGTATATCTTTGTCCTTCATAGTTCCACTTTTTTTTTAAATTTTTTTATCGAAGGGAGTCTAATGAATTTATATATGTATAAGTACACCTTCATGCACCAGGAATTCATTCAATTCTGCATGATTATTTACACGTAAGGAAACTTTATTCTCTCTGTGTACCGCTTAGTCTGACGGAAGAGCAAAAGACTCGTCGTACGACTTGGTGCCGAAAGATGCTGAAAATGTTCGATAAGGGGCAATCTCGGTATGTGAACAGCATAGTGACACGTGATGAGACTTGGCTCTATTATTACGATGTGCCGAACAGCGCCCAAAACAAAGTTTGGGTCTTTGATGATGAGGACATACCCGATCTGTTAAGAAAAAAATGATAGCTGTATTTTTCAAATCGAGTGAGATTGTGGAGCGTGTCGTTTTGGACGCACAGAAGACAGTCCCGGCTAAGTGGTACACGGAACAGTGCCTGCCTAAAGTCTATGAAAAACCTGCGGCCAAAGTTAAGACTGGACACTTGGTACCTCCACCATGACAACACTCCAGCTCATCGCGCCAAAGCCTGCACCGAGTATTTGACCACTGCTGGACTGAAACTTATTGAGCACCCTCCTTACAGTCCTGGTCTTGGTAGCGATGAGGACCTTGGGACAACGAGTCGGCCGTACTTTCGGGTAAAACTTGTCCGAGGTGGTTTAAGGACTGGTTTTGGTGGAAGGAGAAGTCTATTGGTTGTGGTGGAAATTACTTTGAACGCAGTCAATAAATAAAGCTGTATTGCAAAACTGTTATAGTACCCTTTGTATTTCACAACAAATGGTTTGTTCGTACAGTGGTCGGTGACAGTGTCTGGGACCCGACCTTGGAAATTCTGTCTATATAGCGTAGGAGAATGAACGGGATCTTGGACCCGATCACTGACAGCTGTACCAACAGGGTTAACTCATACTATTCGGACTTGTTCTTAATGCAGTAATCCCATTTCAGACGAGGACGTATCTGACGACAGCGATGTGATAATCGTAGGCAGTTCTGATCCGACGGATCCCGTCGTAATCGACCTGGTGAACACGGATTCCGATGAACCGATCCTCGTAACCCAAGACGAGCCGATGCCGGTACCGGTGCAGGAACCTGTGCCGATCGTCGACGTGACGTCAACGCCTGACGTCGAGGATGTCGTGGTCACCGGTGCCACGCAGAACGCTACGCCGGTCGCCGCGGAACCGTCTCGTACCCACGAGGACAGGCCGCCGCTGTTGCCGCTCAAGCTCAGGTTGAAGGTGAGTTTCAGAAAAAGTTTACCGAGAAAGTCGTTAAGGCACGATCGAAGATCCAGACTTATTCACACGCGAGTTATTTATGATCCTTCTTTGTGTCAATTCCAAACAATAATCATCAGCCAAAATATTCTACAATTACTCCTGTTCCAAAAATTCTGAATTCTACAGGGTGTTTTCAAGGTTGAGTCATTTATTATAGATTGTAGAACTCTTCAAAAGAAGTTGATATACCAAAAAACACCTATACAGCGTGTTCCTTAATGATATGCGAATACTCGAGGGTGTGAATCTACAATGATTAAATTTCATTTTTTTCATTTTCATATTCAAGTTAAAAAATCATCTTCTACCAAATCACTTGGAAAATTTCATTGAATTGAACAATGAGTACCATAGTTATTGTACTGGAGGAACTATACAGGGTGTTTCAGTTTATTGTTGCATAACTTTAAGATTCGATAGAACTTTTAAAATTAATGCATAAAGTCTATATAAACATGGGTCGAAAAACGCGTGGCTTCCGAAATACAGGGTGTTTAAATTTACTTTCTAAAATAGTTTTTTTTAAATATTTCGAACAATATTTGATGTATAACAGTCAAAATTGGTATACAAGGGTTTTTTGGTACGTCAAAACGAACCATGGGCATAGTTTTACTGTAGCCGCTAGAGGGCGCTCTCTACTGTACCTGTAGTGTATTAAAATGACCGAAAAATTTTTCTTAGTGCAATTATTTGCTTTTTAAATAAAAAAAAGGTTCGATGCATTTTTAATTATTTATGGGAAAATAATATTTTTTTTTACATTTTCGATTTGGGCATTACAAGTAATTAAGATGATCGCTTAGATTGTGTTTTTAAACACAGCAATAATTCCTAACTCCAAATAAACACAATAAAACAGAATATTAGTTTGTTTAATTTTCCAATATTATTTTTAACAAATTAAATTGATTATTTACAACTAAACGTGGTATAGCATTATTCAAATAAGGCCTTATTTCATCACATGCATTCCTGATTCTGTCTATTAGCATATCTCTTGTGGTTACGGGAGTCTGGTACACTTTCTTTCAGAAATCCCCACACAAAGAAATCTAACGGATTTAGGTCAGGGGATCGTGGGGGCCAGGCGACTGGTCCTCCACGGCCGATCCATCTTTCTGGATAATTTTCGTCCAGCCAGTTTCTAACTATTCTCGAATAATGAGCTGGACAACCATCAAGCTGGAACCAGGCCAATCTTCTTAAATCTAACATAACATCATCCCACTTATTTGCATGTTCAGCCTTTAAAAATTCCAAGAAGGTCGCAGCATTTAACCTTGCAGGCAAAAGGTAGGGTCCAAATAGTCCATTCCGGTAGATACCAATCCACACGTTCACACTAAATGCATGCTGAAAATTTCTTTCCCGAACTGCATGCGGATTTTCATGCGACCAAATATGTTGATTATGAAAATTTACCACTCCACGTCTAGTGAAGCATGACTCATCGGTCCATAAAACGTTACTTAAAAACTCCCTATTATTATCAGTTCTATCAAGAATCCACTGACAAAATGTGATTCTTCGTTCTCCGTCCCCTGGCTGTAGTCCTTGCACAGGTTGCAAATGGTAAGGACGTCTATGGTCATTTCCAAGAACACGGTGACCATGGCTTGCTGAAATTCCTAAGGCACCAGAAACTCTCCTAATACTTGTGGTCGGATCTCTATCAAACTCACCCAGAATCATACGGGTAAATCTGCGCTGACGAACATTTATGTTTTGATCCCCTTGGAGATTTCCAAAACCATTTTCAATTATTTGGCGATGCACTCTTACTAATACTGAGCGAGTTGGATGTCGTCTGTTTGGAAAGCTTCGTGCGTATTCTCTGGCTGCTTCTGCTGCGTTTCCATTTACAAAGTCATACACAAAATGAATATCCGCTAACTCTTGATTGGAGAATAAAAATGGCATTTTTACAAAACTTACAAAAAAAAAACAGGTAAAGGAAACTAAATTTCGTGCATTCACAATTGCAAAAAAACGTTTCAGGTTTCAACAGACAACAAAACTAACTGTCAACTAATTGACGTTTAACCTTATTCTGCTTTCAATTTCAAAAATATTTGCAGGCACAGCCTACTTCTAAAAATTATCGAGATACTGACTTTTTAACGTTATTTTATCATAAATAATAAAAAATGCATCAAACCTTAAAAATCGAAATATCTCAAAAACGGCTAACTATAACGAAAATTCACAAGAGAGCTTTTTTATGTTGAAAAGTGCGAATAATCAGTTTTTTTATTCAAAAAGCAAAAAATTGCAATAAGAAGAATTTTTCGGTAATTTTAATACACTACAGGTACAGTAGAGAGCGCCCTCTAGCGGCTACAGTAAAACTATGCCCATGGTCAGCGCCACCTTCAACTTCAACTTAGTTGAAGGTGGCGCTGCCCATGGTTCGTTTTGTCGTACCAAAAAAGCCTTGTATACCAATTTTCACGGTTATACATCAAATATTGTTCGAAATATTTAAAAAAAAAAACTATTTTAGAAAGTAAATTTAAACACCCTGTATTTCGGAAGCCACGCATTTTTCGGCCCATGTCTATATAGACTTTATGCATTAATTTTAAAAGTTTTATCGAATCTTAAAGTTATGCAACAATAAACTGAAACACCCTGTAGACTTTTTTACAAAATTTTAGTAGCAATATAACAAAATGGAATTTCCAAAGGATTATACGAATTTAATAAATTAAGTAATTATATCAAGATGTTTAAAGGGAAATTCAAAAAATATTTCATGGAAAACCAGAATTAATAGTAGTGAAATTTTGTATAAACATATGAAGTCTTGAAGACATAATATCTTGCTGTGTAACATTGATATTGTAGCAGTAATACTAAATAAATCTACAAGCAAACCAACAAATAAAAATTTGCTAGATCAATTAAACATGTGTATTTTTTCTGTCAATCACAAAGACCGAATACCTTTTCTAAATCACTGTTCGTTTTCAGCGTAAACGTCAGTCCGGCGAAAAGGAGCAAATGGAAGAAAGGCGAAAACGTAGGAGATTTTTACGACGCAAGAGACCATCAACAGATCGCAGCGACAGCCTGTCTTCGACGTCATCTTCCTCAGATTTTTCCTCGTCTAGTGAATCCTCAGATGGCCTTGTCAAGTATGTGACAGTCGATTTATGCTTCGATTAATTACCCAACCATTGCGCGATTTTATTTTTGACCCGCGGCAATTTTTATTCTTCTTTCCTATTACGCTAACTTTAGCGTCAAAAAATACAGTCATGTAGCGTTAATGTGTAATGAAAAAATATGGAGGAAAATGTATTTTTAAATGCCTAATTCGAAAAAAATAGAAAAATTGAGAAAAGTCAGTGGCGCACAAATCGTTTGTCAAAGATATTTTAGCTAGGGTCTTTTCCGGGACGCCGCTGGAATTTCAATAAAGCAGCCTCTTACTGCGCTTAATACCACTGCTAAATTTAAACAAAATAGACTGAACATTTATTAAGATATTTGGGAAGAACCGCCTATATCTTGAAAATGGAGCATTTCTGGACCTATGGACAAAAGTATATAGACAAATTAATATTGTGCTGTATTTCTTTTTTAACTTGTTTTATTGATACACCAACCTGTATACATAATTCGTTATAGCATAATACTCACTTATACATAAATAAATTCTTTAGACTCTCATCAATAAAAAATTAATTGAAAAAACTGGAACTATGAAGGAAAAAATATATAGACAAAGCAAAACAATTATAGAAAAAAGAAGCAAAGTTCATTGAATTATAGAAAACCAACCATGTTTGTGTTGATATTTTGTAGCATATCTGTCTCCACTTTTGCTCTAAAGCGGCAAAAAGTCCATTCTTGTTTGAGTAATTTTTATCTCGTATTTGCTTATCTAAGTATTCCCATAGATTTTCAATGGGGTTTATTTCGGGAGTCTGCGAAGGCCATTTGAGAACTGTTTTCGTAGAAACACTGACAATTCCTTTTGTCTCGATTGCGGCTTTTATTTGTCTTGGGGTTTTAAACGGATCTTTGGACGAAATTACTTTTATTAATCTAACTGATCTAGCATTTAGTTTTCTAGGCCGACCACTTCTCTTAGAGGCTTCCAAGATACCTTTTTGTTTATATTTGTTCAATATTGCCCAAACTGCTTTACGCTTCAGCTTCAAATTTCTGGCATTGTCGACTTGACGTTGACCATCTTTGTATAACTCAATGATCTTAGTTTTCACAACGAAAGAAATTTCCGGGCCACGCGGCATGTTCTTAAAATCACTTGATGAATACAAACTAATCCTCTTCTGACACGAAACTGTACTAAACTAATGTTGAAAAGAATTTGTCTCTATATTCTTGTCCCTCATAAAAAAGTGCTTATATTCAGACTTGTATTGTGTTCATTGCAGATAATGTGAAAACTAGGAATTTAGTTTTTCTACTAATAACGCATTTGTTTATGAATCAATAAAGTACGAATTCGTTTTCTAAAGGTATTTAGGTAAATATTCATATTTGTCTGTATACTTTTGTCCGTTACTGTATGTCTATATGAACTTTTTATCTTAAAATTACCCAAAGAATCATAGCTGGACGTTTGGCCACATACTTGAATAACACCGGGGTGAATTTGTTGTTACATCAATTAGAATGAGCTCTATATTTGTTATTTTGGTACGTTTGATTATCATCGTAAACCTAGCGAAAGAAAGTCGAGAGTTATTGGCGGCGCTATAGTTATGTTCTCCAGTTTACTCCAATCAATCCACAGATACATGAGGAAAAGAAAATTCCGGAAACTAATAAAGAAGAAACGTTACCGATCCTCGTCGGAAAGAGAAGTGAACGTGACAAACTCCAGCAGCTCCGAATCGTCAGACGACGATCGTCCGTTATCCAGTCGTTCTAGTAAAAAAGCGCTCTTATCAAGGAAACGAACGTCGAGTAAGAAGAAAGGAAAATACACTTCAAGTAGGAGTACGCAAGCGTCCAACCAAGAAAGCACGTCGTGGAGGTATCCGATCCACGAAGGAAGATCGTATACGCCTACTGAACAGGAGTGTGAGAGACGTGAGTTTGTTGTAGATTTATTTAGCATTAATTTATTTATTTACCCTCCTACAAACACATACAAATGTATTTAAAATGCAAGAGCCCTTAAAAAAATAAATTACAAAGACAAAACAACGTTTTAAAATGCAAAACTGATAAAATATATATAAAATATATAAAATAGTATACTAATGGCATCAAGGCAATGTGCTTTTTAGGAACACAGACTGGATTTGTCCTACTGATGTACAAAAAAGGTCTAAATCACATTGTTGCATAAGAATGTTACATTCGTACATCATCCTATTTATATGAGAGCTACTTAACTTTTGACACTGGAACAATTTGCTTTTTCTTATTCTTAGTATATCTTCAGGAACTACAAATAATAAATATTTATATACTAAGTGACATATAAATCCGAACACCCAGTTTAAATGGTTTTATTTTAATAAAATTTTGTATAAGTACTTAATGAAGCATAATAAGTAAATGATAAAAATTTCAAAATGATTGCACTGCTTTAAAGCCCTTTGACCTTTAATAATGTGTGGATGCACCCTGATGTGCTACGCATTCTCCAACGCGCCTAGGCATGCTTCTGATCAGGTGGTCAATGTGCTCCTGTGGTATCTCATTCCAGGCAACCACCAACTCCTCTCGAAGTGCTTCTAGAGTCTGAGGAAGACGTTGCAAATTGAGCAATCTCCTACCCATCATATCCCACACGTGCTCAATTGGGGATAAGTCGGGAGATCTTGGTGGCCATGGTAAAAATGTGACATCATTATGTTGAAAGAAGTCTATGCAACATGTGGTCGGGCATTATCTTGTTGGAAAGTTGGATCTGCCAGGGTGTCAAGATAGGGTAAAAGATGGGGTTCTAGAACTTCGTGGATATAACGCTGCGCGTTCATGTTACCTCTGATGAAGATTAAAGGTGACCTGGAACCATAAGCTATAGCACCCCAAACCATAACTCCAACAGTGTGATGAACATGTCTTTCAACAAAAAACTGTGGATTCCTCCTTTCACCACGTCGCCTTCTAACCCAGGCACGACCATCGTGCATGCCTAAACAAAATCGAGACTCGTCACTAAAGACAATAGTGTTCCATTCCTGATCCCAGAGTGACCGTTGTCTGCACCACTCAAGGCGATTACGTCGGTGTTCTCGAGTTAAAGGGAGGACCCAGTGTGGCCGGTATGAAAACAAGCCAAAATTTCTCATTCGTCGGTAAACACTTCGCATGCCAATAGGTCCTCCGTGTTCTGCAAACCATTCATTTGCAATGGACCTGGTAGTGGAGAAACGGTCCCTTAAGGCCAATAATCTTAGGCGGCGATCTTCACGGTCTGTTGTTCTACGGCGGCGTCCAGTGCCCCTTGCAAAGAGCGTACGGCCTTCTCGAAGCCATGCCTGACAACACCTAACCACAGTGTCTACACTTCTTTGCACTCTAACAGCAATTGCCCGAAAAGAAAGTCCAGCTTCCCGAAGTCCCACTATACGGCCCCTATCAAACTCACTAAGTTGACGAAATCGTACAGGTCTCCGTACTCTAGGCATCGTCACCGATCGTAAAGGATGTCAAGAACCAAAATCCGCCAACGTTGATTCTTTACTGCGGCTGAAATATTCATTTTTAGAGCGTTAGTGAATTAAAAAAAAGCAGTATAAAAACCGGAATGTCCAACTGATAAGGCTGAAAATTTTTTCACTTGTTATTTACAGTAAGATAAATACATTCACCCACTTTTATTAAAATAAAACCATTTAAACTGGGTGTTCGGATTTATATGTCACTTAGTATAAAAAGCACATTTCTCATACTTTGGGTTGTTATTGACATTGTAGAGGAATAAAACATCACTTGAATGTTGACCATTTTAAATTCATTCGATAGATTCTTATATGAGATCATAAAAAGATATATATTATGTTGTTTAGAATACAAATATCTGAGAAATCTCTTTTGCACTCTCTCAATCATTTCGATATGGTTCGTTGTTTGTGGTGACCAAATAGTTGATGCATATTCTAAATTAGGTCTCACTAGAGTGTTGTTCAAATTTATTATTGTATTTATATCCTTGAAACGTCTTGTATGCCTAATTTTGAATCCAAGATTTATTCAGAATATTTTCATAATGCTGGACAAATGTTAAGTTTGTTTGGAAACTAGACTCCAAGATCCTCCTTGCATATGCTTTCTCTGCCTAGCAGGACATTTTCAATCGTGTATGTGAAATTTATGTGTTGTTTTTTACGTGTAAAAGTTAAAACATGGCATTTGTCGATATTTAACGACATCTTATTTTCGTGAAACCAATTGGATACCAAATCTAAATCCTTCTGTAGTCATGACAATCCTTAGACGATGTTATGGGCTTAAATATTTTAAAGTCATCAGCATAGAGGAGGCATGCTGAATTGTTTATGCAGTTTGGTAAATCGTTAATGAAAATACAGAATAGCAAAGGATTAAGGTTACTACCTTGCGGCACCCCAGATGAATCTATTTATTGGTTTGATACTGATCTGCCAACCTTCACCTGTTGTGGTCTCGTGGTAAGATAAGATTCCATAAATTTACATGCAGTTGAAGAAATGTTACAGTATCAATGTTACACAGTATACCACATACAGGGTTTGTCTGGAAAGTAATAGGACTGAGTCGATTTAAAAAAAAATATTAAGCCAATCGTTACAATTCTTTAAAAACTTTCAAAATAGGCTCCTTCTACGTCGATGCAGCGCTGCCAGCGCCATTTCCAAGCACTGAAGGCGTCGCGGAAGGCATTCTCCGGAATAGCCTTGATAGCCGCGGTGTATGCTGCTTGGATCCCCTCTGTCGTCTCAAAATGCTTGCCTTTCATCTGCGTTTTCAGGCGAGGAAACAAATAAAAATCCGGGGGGGCACATCTGGGCTGTAGGGCGGCTGCGGAAGCGTTGGGATGCCGGCCTTGGTCAGGTAGATGTTCACAAGAAAGGCGGTGTGAGCCGGGGCGTTGTCGTGGTGCCACTTCCAGTCGGCTGCGTTGTCTTGTCGGACCCGACTGACCCTTCGTTTCAGTCTCCTGAGCACTTGACGTAAAACTTGGCGTTGACGGTTTGACCGGGAGGAAAAAATTCATGGTGGACGATGCCTTTGATGTCAAAAAAGACAATGAGCATCGTTTTCATTTTGGATTTGCTCATTCTTCCCTTTTTTGGGCCACTCGGAAGATTGCCTCTTTGTCTCGGGATCATACTCAAAGATCCACGACTCGTCACCTGTGATTACGTTATTCAAAAATTGGGGGTCACTTTCACACATGTTCAAATTTTCTTGGCACACTTCCACTCGCCGCAATTTCTGATCGTCAGTGAGCACTTTTGGGAACATCTTCGCACATGTTCAAATGCTGTGTCACAATGTCATGAACCACAGATTTTGGTAAATTTAACATCTGGGCAATTAAACGAATACTTAGTCGACGGTCTGAGTTCAAAACTTTGCGCACACGAGTCACATTATCGGTGTTTGTCGAAGTCGAAAGTCACTCCAAGTGCTCGGAGACAACTGACCAGCCGCTCATTCGTTAGCTAGGAACGCACTCTACCGAAAATGAGTCCTATTACTTTCCGGAATCCCTGTATTATCTCTTATGAATTCTGATTTTCCATGGAATATACTCAGTGACATTAGAAGTGTTACACCCAGAAAAAATTATTCTTCAATTTTTTTTTTTGCAACATAATGACTATATTTAAAGGATTTTACTTGTATATATTCGCAAATACCATGTCTATAACCAGTGTGCCCCCTTTTGAAATTATGCTATGTGGGCGCCCATGAGTTGCAGTGCAATGAATTTATGATGTTCATCCGATGATTTTCTCTGCAATCCACTCTTGTTATCCCCTTTATTGTATTCCAGTCTAGTCAGGTCGAAATTAGAATACTTCACTAATATGGAACCCACTTTACAATATTTATAAAACATGTATTGAAAAGGTTCAAAACAAATTTCTGAAGTACTTATCTTTCAAGCTTGATGGGGTATTTCCACAAAGAGGTAGTGATTATGTGATGCAAACTTTAGAGAGCCGTAGAGGTCAGGCATCTGTTTTGTTTCTGCATAAACTACTAAATGGCAAAATTGACTCTGTTGACCTGTTATCACAGCTAAATATCTTTGTACCGAGACTTAATGCTAGAGATCATAATACGTTTTTTTGTAAAAGAGCTCAAACAAATATATTAATGAAAGCCCCTATTAATCAAATGTGTGCAAGCGCGAACAAACTGTCTAACGTCTGTGACATTTTCTGCTGTAGTTTTTCAGAAATAAGAACCCAGTGTCGTGTCAGTTTCTAGTTTCGCTAAAGTTAGTTTTAGATAAATTTAGTACATTAATTGTTTTTTATTACCCATTGCTCTTGGGCAATATATGCTTTATTATTATTATTATTATTATTGTTTGTCCGACCATTCTCTACTGGACCGATTATGCCCAGGTTACACACCGCCGCCCAGGATACCAGAGACAACCAGTGAAACCCTCCATTGTCCAGCGGACACACCTTCATGTTCCAGTTATAGAATGCCCACTTGCAGCACTATCAAATCGGAGGAGTCCACCGACGAAGATTATCCATTGACGCAGCTACTTAACAGAGACCGAAAACAGGTTGGTATTCGATCAATCAAAATTTATTATCTTGCATACTTGACATTAGAAAGTTATTTTATTTTTACAAAAGTTCGCAATACAAATTTCTGTTATTTCTGGTGTTGTATTCGCAGGTTTGGTTTAGATCACCTTTTGTCTTAGCACTAATTTATACTAAGTGACACTTGTAACAGCACTCCTAGTCAGTGTTGCATTTTATTTGTCATTTAGTATATTTGAATGTAAGATTTTCTGTTCTTTTAATTTCCGGCATCAAAAATAGGTGATTCTATTTGAAAAAATAAAATTGACCGTCAATTAACCTTGAAGGTCAGGGTCAAGTGCAAGGTCACCTCTGAATTCCGGGACGATGTATAGGGTTGTCCAATAGGGACGCAGGAAAGTAAACATCAATTTGACATAGACGCCATCTTTGTTTTCTGTCACCGACATGTCATTTTGTTAGTTGAATGTTTACCATTGATCGCTATGGAGTCGTATTCGATTGAAGAGCGTATTAAAGTTATTCAAGAGCACTACAAAAATGGTGCAAAAATAAAAAACACGTTTCGCGCGCTTCGTGAACATTTCGGTCGCAACAACCGCCCAAACGAAACAACCATCGGCCGTCTGGTGCGTAAATTCGAGGCAACAGGTTCTGTGGCAAATCTGCCAGGCTCTGGCCGGCCAAGGAGCGTTCGCACACCGGAAAATATTGCTGTTGTGAAGGAGAGTGTGAGAGACGATCCGAAACAATCAACAACGCGTCGATCCCAAGAACTGGGCATTTCGAGAACCAGTTTGCTCCGCATTCTCCACAAGGATTTGAATGTACACGCCTACAAGATCCAATTGACGCAAGAGCTGCGTCGGGCCAACCATTTTTCGCGCCGAACGTTCTCAGATTGGCTCCTTGAACACCGCCAAATTGATGCCAATTTTTCATCAAAAATCATGTTCAGCGACGAAGCGCATTTCACTTTGAATGGGACTGTAAACAAGCAAAACTGCCGCATCTGGGCGAACGAAAATCCCCGTGAATATCAAGAGCAGCCGATGCATCCTCAAAAAGTGACTGTGTGGTGTGCATTGTGGTCAAAAGGCATCATCGGACCTTACTTTTTCGAAAATGCGGCCGGGGACGCCGTTACCGTCAATTCTGAGCGATATCACGTGATGATAGAGGACTATTTTTTTCCGCAACTTGAAGGAATGGATATGGACGATGTTTATTTCCAACAAGACGGTGCAACATGCCACACAACCAACGTCAATATCCATCGATTGCAGTCCTTCTTCGGTGATCGCGTGATTTCGCGCAGAGGAAATGTGCCATGGTCACCCAGATCGTGCGATTTGACTCCCTTGGACTTCTTTTTATGGGGATATTTGAAAAGCAAAGTCTACGTCAACAAACCAGCCACCCTCCAAGAACTCAAAAACAACATCATTGCCGAGATAAATGCCATAGAACCGACCATGTTGCAAAATGTCATTGAAAATTTCGACCATCGCGTGGACGTCTGTAAATCCAGTCGTGGTGAACATTTGAGCCATATTATTTTTCATACATAAATGGTATAAATGAACCTTCAAAATAAAGTACCCAACTTGATTTGAATATCAATCTTTCTTGTTTTAATATGCGTTTACTTTCCTGCGTTCGTTTTGGACAACCCCATATATCAAATACTCTGTTTCACTTATGAGCGACAATATGAATAAAATGCAATTTTTATTGCTAAAAAATGTCCACCAGATTTTTGTATTTATACAGGGTGTAAACGTTATGATAGTCATTATTAAAATGGGTGATAAAGGGGGTTAAATGAAACAAAAAGTTTCATATAACATGGGGGTCAAAACGGCATTTCTTTTTAGAGAAAAGCGACTTTAAGATAAAATAAAATCTGGCCATGTTCGAGGATCAAGAGCATTTCGACCGATCCAGCGATTTGGATAATGTTCATTCAAATACTGAATGACGCCTCTAAAAATGTGTGGTGGTGCCCCGTCATGAAGAAACCACAAATTCTGTCTCCGTTGTAATGGCATGTTGTCTAAGGTATGTTCCAAAAGTTCTGAGAGAACATTGTAAATAAACACAACGACGTACGCGAACAATAACTAACCACTGTTACCGTTTGCGATAGATTGCCGGTTCGATAAGAGTGATGAAAGGCCGACGCGCTGTTGTCATGTGTGTTTTAAATATTTAATTTAATGAAACTTACTTACTGACTATAAATGTCTTCTTAACTTAGAAAAACTTAATGCCATTTATTTGTTAATTACTCAATTTAAAAACGTTTTAGATTAGATTATAAAAATTAGTAAGATTGTGGTGATTGTGGTCGATGTAAAGCTGTAAACTATAAAGCCATTTAGACAAAAATCTATTGACTTTTGGACCATGGGTCATATGAACTTTTTGACTTGTTTTGACCTCCCCTATTATCCATTTCAGTAATGACTACCATAACGTGTACACCCTGTATACCTCTAGCACCGGAAATGACCATTGGATAGCTCTCTATTCAACTGCCGAAAGGTTTATGTCAAATACTGGCTTATTTCATTTTCCGACTTGAATTTTTGCAGGTTTGCCATCGGAACGCTTTGACTGATAACTATTTATGTTCAGGTGCAGGCGGATGTTAAATTCAACAGTTCTACGGGGGGCAGTACTAGCGAAGCCCTCAGGAATTTGATGATAAAAAAGGAAGCAAATATGTGGTATGCGTACCCCTGTTTTAAATCGGACGTGTCAGATTGCTAGAAATGCAGAATTATACATATATTTTTTTAAGTTGTACAGTTATTTATCAAGTTACAGCATTGGGTATTATTTTCGAAGAAATGTAATTGAAGCGTCAAGACGACTGATAAATTAGTTGGTTTATTTATTGACGATGAGGGAGAATGTAAAATGGCCACGACATATACATGGCCATAGTGGAACCGTTGCCAAAAAGAGATGCATGTGGTGTCAGTAGTACTAGGTTTGTCGCAAAGTGAAAAAATGAACAAACATTTTTTGTTTCGGAAAATCGAATCTCTTTTGTTCAAAATTTCGTCTTCGCGATATTCTGGCCGAACACAACAGCAAACGCCTCATAACACCAAGATAAAACGCAGCAGTGGAACGAATTCTTTGTGAATAATTCTCTTCAAACCGTAGAAACAAATCAACATTGTCTTCATTTTGGAGTTTTCATAAAGGCTTTTTTCGGATTTGGCTCGCTACGGTACCTTTCATTCGACACTTTGACGCTTAGTTTCGGGATCGTATCGAAAACATCACGTTTCGTCACCAGTCACAATGTTTGACGGAAGGTTTTTATCTTGTCTGACCTCTTTAATCTCTCTTGAATATTAAATTCAACAAACCGAGGTTAGGTATGTCAGAGTCCGTGTTCACCAGGTCAGTTACTACGGGGTATGTACGAGCCTCTGAAGAGATCTTAAAGTTTGTTTATTTTTTCAAGGTTACAAAATATTTTTTTTTCTTTTATAAGACCTTGAAATATATTGTTTGGACATCCTTTTAACCAAATGATTATTGAGTAATATGATATTAAACTGTAAGACTAAACTAATATTGTTAACAATATTTGGCGCACACATAAATGTTCCGACGAACCATTTCAATAGCTCGTTACGTCTCCCTTTGTCTTAGTAACAGCAATAATTCTGGCATGCATAGTTTCATCAAGGTTTTCGCAGTGTTCCGCCTTACAGGGTTTGTCCGGAAAGTAATAGGACTGAGTCGATTTAAAAAAAATATTGAGCCAATCGTTACAATTCTTTAAAAACTCTCAAAATAGGCTCCTTCTGCGTCGATGCAGCGCGATTTCCAAGCATTGAAGGCATTCTCCGGAATAGCCTTGAGAGCCGCGGAGCATGCTGCTTGGATCCCCTCTGTCGTCTCAAAATGCTTGCCTGTCATCGGCCTTTTCAGGCGAGGAAACAAAAAAAAGTCCGGGGGGCACATCTGGGCTGTAGGGAGGCTGCGGAAACGTTGGGATGCCGGCCTTGGTCAGGTAGATGTTCACAAGAAAGACGGTGTGAGCCGGGGCGTTGTCGTGGTGCAACTTCCATTCGGCTGCGATGTCTTGTCGGACCCGACTGACCCTTCGTTTGAGTCTCCTGAGCACTTCCACGTAAAACTGGGCGTTGACGGTTTGTGCAGGAACAAATTCATGGTGGACGATGCCTAAAAGACAATGAGCATAGTTTTCACTTTGGATTTGCCCATTCTTCCCCTTTTTGGACGAGGAGACGCCGTCGTGTGCCACTCGGAAGATTGCCTCTTTGTCTCGGGATCATACTCAAAGATCCACGACTCGTCACCTGTGATTACGTTATTCAAAAATTGGGGGTCACTTTCGCACATGTTCAAATTTTCTTGGCACACTTCCACTCGCCGCAATTTCTGGTCGTCAGTGAGCACTTTTGGGACCATCTTCGCGTACACCTTGCGCATGTTCAAACGCTGTGTCACAATGTCATGAAACACAGATTTTGGTAAATTTAACATCTGGACAATTAAACGAATACTTAGTCGACGATCTGAGTTCAAGGGGGTCACCCACACAAACATCAAATTTCGATTCTTCGCTAAAAATGATATTTTTCCAGTCTTTCTACGTACCTTATAAAAATGTAAACCAGATTTATGAATCCACCGACGGCACGTATCTCGTGAAACATTTCCTGCTGTTTCTTCATTCGATTTTGTGGTTATGTCCCTTACAGCACCTCGACGACCAGCTATACAAATACAAACAAGAGATCTTTCCACTCTAGGACTGATCTTACGAGGCCTACCAACACCGTGTCTTGAAACTTGAGTTAAACCTGTGTCTCCATACTTTTTTACAATATCTGCCATCGTAGGCTTTGCGACGTTTGTTTGTTTAGCAATATCCCGAAAACTCTTTCCTTGATGAAACAATTTTATGATTTAAACTCCACCGTTTGTTGCTTTAACCGATCATATTTTCGTCTATTGAAAGAAATCGCGAAGGGTGAAATGCGTTCTGAAAATGCGTGATTAGGGGCCGTATTTTGAACAGGCGGTCGTAATTAGGATCCGTTAGATAACAGAGTAATTTCAAAAATCGTTTTTGACTAATTACTCTAGCCATCCTCTCCACGTTAAAGTTATCGTGTTTACTCGAATAAGATCGGAAGGTCGGTAGAACATGGAATCCCATAAATATGAGCATGCCAAGCATAGCCCGAAATTCATCAACAGTCATGCTGAGATGTACACCTTTTTGAGTAGCATAAAGGTTCGACTGGGTCACAATAAAAGTCAAAATGTCAAGGGTCAAGAAAGTTTGAAGAACTTTGAAAGGAGCGGTCATACCTACGACATATATAGCCCCGGCACCAGGTTCTGAAAAGTGGAAGGTGCTGTATAACTTGGGATCCGTGCCACCAGAATCTTCCTCAGACGAAGTATTGTGGATTTTTCGGTTAGGCTTAGGAGAGTTTCAATAATCGGGATCGTCAGTATTTTCTTCAAAATCGTCATCGAAACACTCCGCCAAATTTTGTTGAGCCGCGTTTCGTGACCGCGTAGACCGCCGACGTAATGAACCTCGCAGCCAGGTTCACTGCTATCATTCAGTGGTTGTCTAGGAATAAAATTTCCTCAGAATCACCACTCCGAATCCTCAGCTTGATCATCTGTGATTTCTCCTAGAAATCTGGCTATTTCAGTATCGCTTAGACGTCTTCTTGACATAATTACTGTCCTGAAAAACGACAATAAATTTGTGATAGTGAAAATAAAATTATAAATAACGATAACAAGCTAAATTTGAAGTCGCATTTCTGAAAATGTAAACAAAACCATGACTTGTTAGGTTATAATGCCACATTTCACAAGAGTATAACATCTGTGTGCACACACACAGCATTCGACATTATGTACATACCTTTATTCCAGCTTAGAGCACTTCAATCTAACTTCAAACGGAAACAATAACAGCCTGACAGGTGTTCACTGCTTTGTATGATGTTTCCTACGCACACTGGGATATTATCGTCTCACTTTGGCACCACTCTGTAGACAGCACCTTGTAGGAACTACCAAGGGGGACGCCAGATTGCGCGCGCAATTCAAATCATATAATAAGTGGGGAAATACTGTCACACTGTGATTTAAGAGACCCGGTGGTGAAATAGTACCCCAAAGGGCGTTAAAGGGTTAAAGCACGTTGATTCTTAAATCAAAACGTCAAATTGTAAACACTTTTGTTTCCAATGGCCTGCTATTATTTTCTTTTTAATATTAAGGCAGCAGCGGTGGCCGCAGTAGTAGACTCTTCGGTCTCCTGGTCAGTCGCCGTGCGCTGTGCGGGTTCGAGTCCCGTCCCAGGAGAAATTTTTCTCTTGGCTATGGATGTTGTGATTGTCCGTAGGTGGTAGATGGTCTCTGACTGTCGAACGCGGAGGTACCACCCGGCGGATCTCGTAGGCGGAGCCAGAATGTGTGCATGTTGCATGCACACGTGTTCCCTCGCCAGAGTCCGTGTGGCGTCCCCCCTTTCCATGTATCCCCCTATAGCCCCACGGTACCCAATGGATGCTTAGGCCTTAGGCCTTCGTGGTAGTTGGAGTATAAAAAAAAGCACATTGATTCTTAAATCAAAACGTCAAATTGTAAAAATTTCTGCTTCCAATGGGCTGCTAGTATTTTCTTTTTAATATTGTGTCCGAACATTTATGTGTCTGCAAAATGTTGCGTTTGATTTTATATTTGAATATCATATTACTTGAAAACACTTTTGTTATATATATATATATGTTGCGCAAACAATATATATAATAATAGTAATAATAATAGCCTTTATTTAACCTGGCGGGTGTCAGCTAAAAGCTGTTTTTCATACCAACCAGGGCATCATTGTGTTGTAGAAGCACAATTGATTTTTAACCTTGCAAACATTTTTTAGGGCTGGTATAATATTGGTTCGATGCTCATGTTTCGACCGATGCTAAAAAGGTACTGTCACTTTGAGCCTGATAACTCCGCGTGAAGTGGTTCGATTTTAATGAAATTTTGACAGGGCATCAATGAAAGATGAACCTATCCAACCATAGATGGCGCTACTTGTATCGGATATGTTTCAAAAGTCCTGTTTACTTTGCGACATGCCTTGTATGTCAGAAGAAATAGGTCAGTTTATGGTGAGAACCTAGGTCACAAAGATAATGATTAAAGAAAATCACTAAATTAATAATTAAAAGGTAATAATTTTTTTGTAATTGAAAACATGTTGCACCAACTTATTTGCTGGCTTTAATGTGTTTATAGTTACATAATATTTAAATAATTTTCAATCAGTCTGAGAACACTTTTTCTTTATGAAGATGGTGCAACAGGTCTAGGTTAGATATCGTGCACATGCTAGAAATCATGAATTTTGTGACAATTAAAACAACTTCTCAGATATGTAATGAGGTCATAGTTGTAAATATTGTAAAAATGTCCTTTTTTAATTGCAGGTTTGTTTTCATGAACATAAACGACATTATCGAACTGACATTGTTTTATTTTATACCCTATATGTAACAGTCTACAATACTGGATAATTTCAAAATTATATATTTACATTTTTTAGCACGGATTGTTGAACAATTGATGCAAAAGTGTGTACAATAAAAGCTATAGTGATCCTTAATTTTACAGTTAATGTAGCAGTATAGTTTTTTAAAAAAACATTAACCACTATTATAACACCCATAAAGAGATAATATTAAATATGGATACTATTATCTCTAATGAATGTGTGAAATTAAAATTATTTTGTAAATAATATTAGGTCAGTAATAAATTTCCAGACAAACTCCATGCATAATTTTCCAGCTACTATTGACCAGTATGCTGATCATACACAGTCAAAAAAACAAAGAGTTTCTAAGACTTATCAAATGCACTCATCTAAGGAAATAAATGGTATAATTTCAAAACTGTTTAGGACTCTTATTGAAAATACCTACAATGAGCCAATTTGAGATGCTAAGTAAAGGTCATTGCTGCTATATCTGAGGCACTGTGTATTGAAACATATCAACAGGTGTTATAATAGTTAGCAGCTACTTGAATAAATAATCATATGATCACAACAAATAAAATCAATTTACAAGGAATGTGACACCATCTAATAGTGGCCTAAACACTTAAGGAGGAGCGATTGTTAGCCCAAAACTGATGTGCTGAGAATGCTAATGTTATCAGGTACAGCAGAGCGGCTATCCAACAGTTCAAGGCATTCTGAAAAAAATCACATCATTTATCACTGCCAGACTAGTCGAGACAAATTTTAGGAAATGAGAATGATTGTTAGTACACTCTGGGCCGGCGAAAAGGGCCAAAAGTTGACTCTTTGCTGCCCCACCACCACTACAAACCAATCTTTAAACAAGTGCATATTTTGCACATAAGCTCATTTGATATGTTTATATTTCAGAATTGAACAGATGCCCGAAATCCGTATGCAAGTAGAAATAGCTTTATAGATATAATAAACGGTTTTTATGTTTCCTGTAGTTTAAATATTTACCTGCTGGAAACCACTATCCATTTTCGCATAGAACTGGTTTAGCTCCTTGATATCCCCATTAAATTCAACGTGAGGGATATCTTCGGCTAAGGCTACAGCTCCGATGTAATAGAATACGCCCATGAGCGTCTGAAAAACAAAGTTTTGAACATGGTTTGGTCTTGGTCACAAGGTAAATGGTTGAAAACTTCTTACCAATTGGATAATTCCCCACACGCTAATGATGATTCCACATAAAGAACATTTAGGTCCGCAAATTGCCATGGTTTGAAAATTGAGTTCCAAATAAATCAGTCAAAAATGGGAAAATTGAAAAATTTGGAAATATCGGTCATATGATTATTAGGTGACAAGCACGTGACAATTGTGACACGGAACACTGTCCGCCTGGCAAGACGTAAGATAACTAGGGATGTGCGATACGATCCGATATTTAAAAGTATCGATACTTTCTTTCCGATACCCGATATTTTTATATACGATACTTCGGTGCATTGATACATTTCACGAGTATCGCTATCGTTCGATCTGGACTGTGTCAGAAAGAGTGGACTCTGAGCAGTAAAGCAGATTTTCACGGTAGGGTTGTCCGATACGATCCGATATTTAGAAGTACCGATACTTTCTTTCCGATACCCGATATTCTGGATCGATATTTTTATATAAGATACTTGGGTGCATCGATACATTTCACGAGTATCGTTATCGTTCGATCCGGACTGTGTCAGAAAAAATGACTAATTTCATCTTACTTTTCTTCCTTGTTTCTTTCCGCTGGTGCTACTCACTTTAGGGGATTTTTATATCAGCGGGGAAGATTTTGGGGATATTTCTTTCTGAGTAAAGATTTTACTGGGGAGGTAACATTATGTAAAATTTTATTAATGACATTACATTATGTACTTGCTATGCATTTATCTTTCTATTCGAAACAAATACTTTAATCTTTTGGAGTATTTAGCAACATACAAAGAATAGTCGCTCAAAAAAATATTTCAAGGTCCAACAATACCTAATAAATCGTAAGCCTGTGGTAACAAGAAATAAATGTTATTTATCATATTACAGTTTAAAACAAAACATTATTGTGCTAGTGATGCCTCCTATATGAAGTGATTTGTGAAGCTATTAAAATCGAGTTTAGGTGAGAGATGTAAGTTATGCAATTATGAGGTTTTTATTTATTTTTATTAGTGAATGTATTTAACAATCTAGTCATGTAGTTAAAAAAAGTAAACATTATTTTGAGGGTTGTAGAAAAAGCAACTTCGATTTTCGCAATGTATTTTCCTTATCGAAAGATTTCGATACTTGTGGTATCGATGTTTTTGAGTATCGATACTTCCTAAAACGATAGGAATCTATACATGGTATCGATACTTTTCGTGGAACATCCCTAGACGTCGTGCGTCGATCACGAACTTGTTAGTGGTGCGATGCATATTTTGTACCGTTAGCGTAACGTTCTGCTGCCGGTACAAGATGTCCCGCTATAACAAGGGTTGCCATCGTTGGTTGCCATATTGGGGGATACTCCCAAATATGGAAGATACTCCCACATAAGGGAGATATTTACGTCTCTTGAGGAATTTTTGGGGGACAAAATGTTCAGGGGGTTTAGGAGGAAACATAAAATCGTTGGGTATCTTATTCCATTTTCAACTACAAAAAACTTCTGAATAAAAACATTGTCTTTCTTTAGCTTTTTCTTTTGCTCAACACAGAAAAATATGATGAACTAGCCGATTGATTTAGCTATCTTTGTCTCACACGCGTGTTTCGGGAGAAAGAACTATACGATTACCCGTCTTCTTTGCGATTCTGTAGATATACGGACCTGTAATTTCCCAATCCCCAAATAGCGAAGTGATCGTGAATGCGCGTATCGTTTCACGATCATGTGCAATCGTGGCCCCAGAAACAAGTCGTCCTAACCAGTTTTAAAAAATAGTCTCAATTCGTTATAAAAGTAGATTATCTTTCATTTTATGATACCGTGAACATCTGTTTTGTTCGATAAATTATGCCTTTTCTAATATGAACACACTTCAGTAGTATCTGTTTCAAATATCGACGCGTATCTTATGTAAACGGCAATGACCCTGTAGTGGTTAAGTGGGTTACGCATCTCTAGACTAAACGTGAAACTGTGCGATGGATGACATCGGCATTGTTCTATTGATCACAGGATTGTCATCAATATGAAAAAACATGATAGGTTAATAGTCAACATTTTCAACCAAAGTATTTAAAACAATTCTTTATTCAGACTTTAGCATAAGTATAAAATAGTACTTACAAAATAAATTGCAACATAACTGTCATAAGAAAATAAACCATTTTAAATAAAAAAATCCATATTCACTCCGCTTTTGTCTTTGCTTTTGTTTTTTTCAGCTTCTTGAGCCCATCTAAGTTGCCCTTCAATAAACTACTGTACGCCACCTGGAATTTGTTAACGTCCTTTTGATGTATAATCGTTGAAATTTTCTTTGAACGAAATTTAGCCCTAACTAAACACATATGTTCCTGTGGTTCTGGTAGTGGTGGTTTTCCTGGTCTTGGTGTTGGGCGATCTTTGCCATCATCTAGAAGACACGTTTGTTTAGAACGAAAGCAAAATCTCGAGCAACTGTTTAATGTACTTACACCGTTTGAAAGTCATAGATACTGAACCATCCAGTCTAGCCTTTTGAAACATCTTTGTAAGCTCCGATAAAAACTGAAATAACAATCTTTAGTGTTGATAAATAGTTTTCTCAAAAGAAACACTTACGGAATCATTTTCTAACAGAACCATTGTATCCTTAGAGATCATACAACCATTACCAATTCTCCCTTATTTACCACGTTCGTAAAAATTTTAATTTATAAAAGTAAATACAATTGACGATTTGACTTTTGATTTGACGGTCGCTTGACATATGTCAGACACGGGGCGAGAAGTGGTTAAGAAGTGCGATATTGGCATGAAAGAAATGAAGATTCAGTGTTAATGGAGACAATTGTTTTTAGCCGCCATTTTCCTCCATATAGCTAACCCCTCCCATTGAATACTATTGTTTTGTAGAGGAAGTAGCACCACAAGCACTTGAAAACAGCAGATGACTGGTTGTCTGTTGGGAAAAGTTACTGTTTTTCTTGTGTCCAGAATTCAGTATTCAATGTGTTGGAGATGTAACGCACATACGGATATACAGTAACACGAAAATGGTGCAGTAGTAAATACTTGTTACTGTCGATTTATACATCCTTAGTTCTACCTTTCTGTCAAACTCTTTGAAGTTTCTTGATGTTCTGTGCCATTCATGTATGTTTTGTGGTTCCGTGGTTAATGGACGGTTGATTGACGGTTTTGTGTGGTTTCAGGACGAAAACCACGGACAAAAATGTGTCACAGTTATTACAACAAACAATAATTAATTGTATCCCCCAATGATGACTTGATGTATTGTATCTCATAATTGCAAGGACAATCATAATCTTAGAAAAAATCTCCGAATATGGCCGATGAACACAGCAGTGAGGATTCCGATTTGGAAAATCATAACGAATTATCTGGGGTTTTGAGTAAGTGGACAAACTATATTCATGGGTGGCAGGATAGATATATAGTCCTGAAAAATGGAACGCTATCATACTACAAAAGCGAGCAGGAACGTGGATTTGGTTGTAGAGGGGCCTTATCTCTTGCCAAAGCTGTTATCAAGGTAATTGAATTAACCCAACCTTAAACTGTTATCAACTGAATATTCATTACAGCCTCACGAGTTCGATGAATGCAGGTTTGATGTATCAGTTAATGATTGTGTCTGGTACCTTCGTGCAGATTCTGTGGAAAGTAAGCAAAAATGGGTTGAAGCACTGGAAACCTATAAGGTAATTATGTTATTTTTCCATACAATAGGATTATCATTACACGGAACATAATTTACAAAATATATATTTTTATTATTCACCTACATACAGTAGGTATAAACTCATATACGGATATCATTCGATGAGTGCATTCAGTTAGCTTGAGTGGTCTAGTGCTGCAGCTATTTCATGTATCACAGTAACTATGGATAGCTTAGCTAGCTGTCAGCAGTTTTCACTTGGTTATCAGAACTTATATGTAGTTGATTTAAAACTTTTTGAAGACTATGACTGCGCAAAGTTGCCTGACTGGAATAAATATCTGACTAGCAAACAAGCATGGATCCCTCCTAGGCGAATCTAGTTTTCCACTAATATTTATGACTTGGATCTCTTTGATAAGTTTAATCAAACATAGACTTTTCGCAAATATGTGATGTATACAAATGGGTAACAAAAATCACCAGATTTGGTGGAAAATCACCATACATGGCAACCCTGATCAATTTGTAAGGGCATCGGTGATGGCGTGGAAATAAGAGGGTCGCGTAAGTCTGCTTGCCTATAGGTTCAGCTTGACGCAAATATAAGTAAAATAGTAATTTTGAATTTTTTTGGCTATCTGGACCACATGGCATGGTCTTAAAATCACTCAACTTATTCCACAATATTTGATGAATACAAACTAATCCTCTTCTGACATGAAACTGTTCTAAACTAATGTTGAAAAGAATTTGTCTACATATTTTTGTCCCTCATAAAAAAGTGCGTATATTTAGACTTGTATTGTGTTCATTGCAGATAATGTAAAAACAAGGAATTTAGTTTTTCTATTAATAACGCATTTGTTTATGGAGCAATGAAGTATTTAGGTAAATATTCATATTTGTCTATATACTTTTGTCCATTACTGTAGGTCCAGAAATGCTTCATTTTTAGGATACAGAATGTAAACCTTTTCTTTAAAAATCCTGATAAACTTCCAGTCGATTTTATTTAAATTTAGCAGTAAGGGACTGATTTAGCCCCAATCAGATTGAAATTATTAAGTCCAGTGGCGTCCCGGAAAAAACCCTAACCAATATCTTCGATAACAATTTTGTGCTCCACTGACTTTTTACAATTTTTTCAAATGAGACAGCTAAAAATACAATTTTTTTGTCTCCTGAGTTTCTTTTATCTCGCTTCATTTGCGAGATAAAAAATAAAAACATACTTTAGTGTATGTCCCTGTGACATAAAACATTAAAACTACCAAACTAATTAAGTAATTAACATTATGAGATGGAATACTTAGATAAGCAAATACGAGATAAAAATTATTCAATCAAGGACGAACTTTTTGCCGCTTTAGAGCAAAAGTGGAGACAGATTGATGAATTTTATATCAAGAAACTTCTACAATCTATGCTGAGACGATGCCAGACGGTGATTGATAATAATGGTTATCCTACAAAATATTAACACAAACATGGTTGGTTTTCTCTAATTCAATGAACTTCTGCTTCTTTTGTCTATAATTGTTTTGTTTTGTCTATATATTTTTGTCCTTCATAGTTACAGTTTTTTTCAATTAATTTTTTATTGAAATGAGTCCAATGAATTTATTTATGTGTACTAAGTGACATATAAATCCGAACACCCAGTTTAAATGGTTTTATTTTAATAAAATTTTGTATAAGTACCTAATGAAGCATAATAAGTAAATGATAAAAATTTCAAAATGATTGCACTGCTTTAAAGCCCTTTGACCTTTCATAATGTGTGGATGCACCCTGATGTGCTACGCATTCTCCAACGCGCCTAGGCATGCTTCTGATCAGGTGGTCAATGTCCTCCTGTGGTATCTCATTCCAGGCAACCACCAACTCCTGTCGAAGTGCTTCTAGAGTCTGAGGAGGACGTTGCAAATTGAGCAATCTCCTACCCATCATATCCCACACGTGCTCAATTGAGGATAAGTCGGGAGATCTTGGTGGCCATGGTAACAATGTGACATCATTATGTTGAAAGAAGTCTATTGTGACTCTTGCAACATGTGGTCGGGCATTATCTTGTTGGAAAGTTGGATCTGCCAGGGTAAAAGATGGGGTTCTAGAACTTCGTGGATATAACGCTGCGCGTTCATGTTACCTCTGATGAAGATTAAAGGTGACCTGTAACCATAAGCTATAGCACCCTAAACCATAACTCCAACAGTGTGGTGAACATGTCTTTCAACAAAAAACTGTGGTTTCCTCCTTTCACCACGTCGCCTTCTAACCCTGGCACGACCATCGTGCATGCCTAAACAAAATCGAGACTCGTCACTAAAGACAATACTGTTCCATTCCTGATCCCAGAGTGACCGTTGTCTGCACCACTCAAGGCGATTACGTCGGTGTTCTCGAGTTAAAGGGAGGACCCAGTGTGGCCGGTATGAAAACAAGCCAAAACTTCTCATTCGTCGGTAAACACTTCGCATGCCAATAGATCTTCCGTGTTCTGCAAACCATTCATTTGCAATGGACCTGGCAGTGGAGAAACGGTCCCTTAAGGCCAATAATCTTAGGCGGCGATCTTCACGGTCTGTTGTTCTACGGCGGCGTCCAGTGCCCCTTGCTCTTTGCGTACGGCCTTCTCGAAGCCATGCCTGACAACACCTAACCACAGTGTCTACACTTCATTGCACTCTAACTGCAATTGCCCGAAAAGAAAGTCCAGCTTCCCGAAGTCCCACTATACGGCCCCTATCAAACTCACTAAGTTGACGAAATCGTACAGGTCTCCGTACTCTAGGCATCGTAACCGATCGTAAAGGATGTCAAGAACCAAAATCCACCAACGTTGATTCTTTACTGCGGCTGAAATATTCATTTTTAGAGCGTTAATGAATTAAAAAAAAGCAGTATAAAAACCGGAATGTCCAACTGACAAGGCTGAAAATTTTTTCACTTGTTATTTACAGTAAGATAAATACATTCACCAACTTTTATTAAAATAAAACCTGTTAAACTGGGTGTTTGGATTTATATGTCACTTAGTATGTAAGTGAGTATGCTATAACGAATTATGTATACAGATTGGTGTATTAATAAAACAAGTTAAAAAAGAAATACAGCACAATATTAATTTGTCTATATACTTTTGTCCATTACTGTATGTTTATATGAACTTTTCATCTTAAAATTACTCAAAGAATCACCTCTTGAAGTTTGGCCACATACTTAAATAACACACTGTATTCTAGTTTATCTAATTACCAGATACCTGGACACCACCTGTGTCACACGTCGATAATCAACAGTCAGAGCAGTCCATATGTCCTATTGTATATTACCGCGAGGTAACTGCGTGTTATTTTTAATGGTATCGAGTGCGAGATATTATCCAGTCCACCTAGAACATTTTTTCAAGATTAGTCATGGAAAAATTCTCACAGATACTAACACGGAAGATATAAAACTGATACTTCTACACTTTACACTCTATACACTGGCAACAGTCGTACCAGTGTTAAAGTATGGATCACAGTATCAATATTTAACAGGAGAGCAAGGCCAAGATCGGCTCATTAACTGTTTACTTAATAAAATATTTATACAATTTCCCGCGTTTATGGATATTGCTAATAATAAAACTTTATGAATCTGCCCGAGTTTTTACCATAGTATGCTGTGAAGTGCTGTAATCTGTACCTACGGTCGTCTGACAATATTTAAATATGTATAAGAAGAATCCGAAATTGAAAAAAATCAAATGTCTTTCATGCATAAGTGCTCCAAAGACTCCGGCTCATCCATACAGAAGGAGGGTAAGGCTATGCTTGATGTTAGTACAGTTTTTAATGAAAACTGAAAGATACTGGGACATTTAAAACGTATATGTATGTATATAAATGTTTTTAAAATAAAAAAAACTTTAAACTCATGATAAAATAGTATAGTTATACTGATTCTCTTCTATTGAGCGTCGCAGGTTTGGAATTCGGCCTACTTTTCCTGCACAAAATTATCAATGGTCATGTTGATTGTCCTCAATTATTAGAAAAAAAATCACTTAATGTGAATGATATGAGAACGTTATTGATACTTTCTTTCTCCTCTTTCATCAAACAAATTATGGTTTAAATGAACCAATAATTCGTGTACTTGGGTTAGGTAATAGATATACAGCAGCGGACAAAAGTTTGGGAACATTCTTAATAATTTTTAAAAAGTGCGCTACTTTTTTATTCTTTGTTATAAAGGACTATTTTTTTTCTCATATAGTTTGCTTACGTCTTTAGGACACGAATGACAATTCGTGTTTGCTATGGTACTACAGACTAGTACCTTCATATTATTTTATGACCAAAAATGAGACGCGTGTTTTTATTTTAATTTGAATATTGATAAGATAAACCTTGTATTAGTACGAGAGACAAATGCAGACTTTAATATTTATATACTAAGTGACATATAAATCCGAACACCCAGTTTAAATGGTTTTATTTTAATAAGTAAATGATAAAAATTTCAAAATGATTGCACTGCTTTAAAGCCCTTTGACCTTTAATAATGTGTGGATGCACCCTGATGTTCTACGCATTCTCCAACGCGCCTAGGCATGCTTTTTTTTTTTTTTTTTTAATATCGAAACAGCCGCGCAGGCAGCAGCCTAAATGCCGGAACACCGCGGCTGCTATGATGATCCCAAAGAAATTTTGTTAATACGATTTTTGAACTGCCTAAGGTTAGTAGAACTGGGAAAAGCTTCCTCCCGTAGTTTGTTCCACAATCTAGACACCCTCGGGACAAAGGAGCGGTCGTATCGGCCAGTTCTGGATGTACGAAGTTTGACACGGTTAGGATGGGACGCCGAAGTCAGGCGGGTCTGTCTGGCAGGCACATCGCGAGGCGGCATCATGGAAGAGAGCTCTGAGGAGCAAAGCCCGTTGGTGTAACGGTAGAAAAGAGCCAGATCGCCGACGGCCCGCCGGTGCGAAAGAGTCCCGAGACTGTCTGTTAGAGAAGAGTCATCGATCAGTCGGACCGCCCTCCTCTGGACAGCATCGAGCATGGACAATGTAGTCGGGGCGGCAGCACCCCAAATGTGTGAGCAATACTCGAGGCTAGGCCTTATCTGGGCCTTGTATAGAGTGAGAAGGTCATGCGGAGAAAAGTACTTCTTAGCCCTAAACAAATAGCCTAGCTTTTTCCCAGCAGCTGCAGCTATTGAAGAGATGTGTTCGTGCCAGATCAGGTCCTCGGTGATCTGGACTCCGACCAGGCGAAATGAATGGCTCTTTGGTAGGACTCGACCGTCCATCGAAACTGTATGAGCGCTAGGACGCTTTTTGTTCGTCAAAGTACAGTACTGTGTTTTGGAAGGATTGAACTGTACAAGATTGTTGCGTCCCCAAGCAGTGATAGCCTCCAAGGTCTCTTGTCAGAGAAGAAGTCGTCGCTAGTCTTCTTTTTTCCAGCTCAGCGGCAGAGATCGGCTTGTCACTCTGAATTCCTGCATGTAGAGTGCTGTCATCAGCGAAGCTGTGGATTGGGTTGATCGTGCAGGAAAGGAGGTCGTTGATATGTAAGAGAAACAGTGTTGGAGCCAAGACCGATCCCTGGGGAACACCCGCGTTGACGTTGTGGGATGAAGAGGAGAATCCGTCAATTACGACGGATATCTTGCGGCCAGAGATAAAGTCAGCCACCCATCTGCAAAGCTTTTCTGGGAGGCCGTAGGATGGAAGTTTGCTCAAGAGGGCAGCGTGCCACAGCTGATCGAACGCTTTCGTGATGTCAAGAGCAACGACATGAGCCTCACCATGAGACTGGATGAGTTTACTCCACAGTTGCGTGACGTAAGCTAGGAGGTCCCCTGTGGATCGTTGGTGCCGGAAACCGTACTGCCTGTCGCTAATCAAGCTGTGACGTTCGAGGTAGTCCAGAAGCTCGCGATTTATGCGCCTCTCCATCACTTTACTTATAACAGAAAGCAGAGCTATAGGCCTGTAGTTGTAAGGGTCGGTTTTAGATCCTTTTTTTGGGATGGGCTGTACATGAGCAAATTTCCAGTTTTCTGGGAAGGTGCCGGATTCATAAGATATCTGGAAGAGACGCGAAAGAACTGGAGCAAGCTCAGCTGCACATCTCTTCAGTACAATGGCAGGAATCAAGTCCGGACCAGAAGCTTTGTTGATGTCGAGCGACAAGAGCACTCGTCTTACGGTCTTATGCCTGAATGTTACCTCCCGCATAGTGTGGGGAACCCTTTGAATTGACGGCACTTGGGCGTTGGTGGGGACGTCCATGGTGGAGTTGGCAGCAAAGATCTTGGCTAGCACTTCCGCCTTGGCCTTTGAGTCGAATACAATAGTTCCATCCTGACACGTAAGTGGTGGAAGGCTACTGTGTGAGAAGTTCTTTTCAATCTGCTTGGCCAGCGTCCAGAAAGACCGACTGCCATTGCGCTGCGACATTACCCTGTGCCTAACTTTTATATCATGCTGGGTTTTGGCATTGCGAACCGCTTCGTTATATTTGTTTCTGGACTCGACGTCGGCTTGTCTGTTCTCTACAGTGGGGTTTTGTAAGTAGGTTCTGTGGGCCTTGATCTTCTGCTGGCGAGCAGTGTCACACGATTTGTTGAACCAGCCGTTGGACCCTGGTTTAGGAACAGACAGTCGACGCATCCGCGTCAGTGAAACAGACATCTCTCCAAGGAAAGCTAGAGAAGAAGTCTCTGAGCCCCTCCCAGTCGGCATGTCCGTAATGCCAAGTTTTGCGGCCTGTGCGAGTTTCTGCGGCGACAGCGGCTTCTGACCGAAACCTAACCTCCACAACACCGTGATCTGAGTTACCCAGGGGGGACAGGACGGCAGTGCTGTAAGGGGCAGGATGCGTGGTCAGAAAGAGATCCAGCAGGCTACTGGCGTGTGACGAGACGCGGGGGAAAAAAGTAGGGCTCGTCACCAGCTGGGTCAGCCCTTGAGTAAGAGCGAACGCTTCGACTGCACGACCTGCTGCATCGGTCTTATTTGAGCCCAACCAAAGCTCATTATGGGCATTGAAATCACCGAGAAGAACTACCTCTGAAGCGGGGTGATTGATGTTCAGGAAGTCGATCTGGACGGCGAGGTATTCGAGTAGGTCGTCCCAGTTATGGTTCGAGGGAGAGCGATAAAGGCAGCAAATAAATTTGGGTGATGTTTTGGAGTTGAGGCGAAGCCACAGAATGTCCTTCCGGTCTGATTCCAAAGAAAGATCCCTGGAGCAGGAAAGACTGCTGCGGACAAAAGCCAAAACTCCCCCGTTCTTTCTCAGATTGGAGTGCACCTCGTAGTTTGGGAAGTTGAGATGGTTAATCGGTGCAGCCTCTGAGATTTTTGTCTCCGCCAAGAAAAGCACGGCGGGACGATTGGATTGCAGGTAGTGATGAACAGCATCAATGTTGCTGTTGATCCCGCAGATGTTCGAAAAACAAATTTTATCTTCGATGTTGTTCCCTCGAGCCCACCCTCCACCCGGACATTCCGAGAGTGGAGTGAGTTTACGTCTGGAGTTTTTAGTGCTCGAGGGATCCATCATCATTAATTTCTTTGTTTTGGTAGATAACCGACTGCATAGCTTAGGTGTGGAAACATGCGGACATTTATAAGACACCCTGGGAAAAGCTAGCGGGTGGTACTGCCTCGGTCGACTGGTCCTTGTCTACCACCTTCTTTTTACGTATTAGTGATGTTAAATAGACCTAAAGTGGCCCGTTGGCGGACTTGTACCGCCACCCGGCAATCGGTACTGAGGTATTCCTTAACGCGTGCGCAATCACTTGGACGGGAAGAAGTTGTATACTGGATACAACGACTTCCGGAACAAGCATTTGCCACGGCCCTCGCTCAGTAGGGGACATGCTTCTGATCAGGTGGTCAATGTCCTCCTGTGGTATCTCATTCCAGGCAACCACCAACTCCTCTCGAAGTGCTTCTAAAGTCTGAGGAGGACGTTGCAAATTGAGCAATCTCCTACCCATCATATCCCACACGTGCTCAATTGGGGATAAGTCGGGAGATCTTGGTGGCCATGGTAACAATGTGACATCATTATGTTGAAAGAAGTCTATTGTGACTCTTGCAACATGTGGTCGGGCATTATCTTGTTGGAAAGTTGGATCTGCCAGGGTGTCAAGATATGGTAAGAGATGGGGTTCTAGAACTTCGTGGATATAACGCTGCGCGTTCATGTTACCTCTGATGAAGATTAAAGGTGACCTGGAACCACAAACTATAGCACCCCAAACCATAACTCCAACAGTGTGATGAACATGTCTTTCAACAAAAAACTGTGGATTCCTCCTTTCACCACGTCGCCTTCTAACCCTGGCACGACCATCGTGCATGCCTAAACAAAATCGAGACTCGTCACTAAAGACAATACTGTTCCATTCCTGATCCCAGAGTGACCGTTGTCTCCACCACTCAAGGCGATTACGTCGGTGTTCTCGAGTTAAATGGAGGACCCAGTGTGGCCGGTATGAAAACAAACCAAAACTTCTCATTCGTCGGTAAACACTTCGCATGCCAATAGGTCTTCCGTGTTCTGCAAACCATTCATTTGCAATGGACCTGGTAGTGGAGAAACGGTCCTTTAAGGCCAATAATCTTAGGCGGCGATGTTCACGCTCTGTTGTTCTAGGGCGGCGTCCAGTGCCCCTTGCTCTTTGCGTACGGCCTTCTCGAAGCCATGCCTGACAACACCTAATCACAGTGTCTATACTTCTTTGCACTCTAACTGCAATTGCCCGAAAAGAAAGTCCAGCTTCCCGAAGTCCCACTATACGGCCCCTATCAAACTCACTAAGTTGACGAAATCGTACAGGTCTCCGTACTCTAGGCATCGTAACCGATCGTAAAGGATGTCAAGAACCAAAATCCGCCAACGTTGATTCTTTACTGCGGCTGAAATATTCATTTTTAGAGCGTTAGCGAATTAAAAAAAAGCAGATAAAAACCGGAATGTCCAACTGATAAGGCTGAAAATTTTTTCACTTGTTATTTACAGTAAGATAAATACATTCACCAACTTTTATTAAAATAAAACCATTTAAACTGGGTGTCCGGATTTATATGTCACTTAGTATATTATCTGTTCCTTCAGAATTTTAACTCAGGTATATGAAATAGTTCATAATAACGTTAATATTTGTTTACAAACTTTTGTCCGCTACTGTACATTTACTAAAGAAGTATTTGCAACTTTTGGTAATGAATTTAAACGCAGTCTTAAGAACATTGTAATGTATTTTTTTGCATCAAGACTGTTTTGTATTGGTAACAAGAGTTTTACCGGTTGATTATGAATAAACAAATGTGTTTCTGTCAACTGAAGAAAAGGTTCCTTGTTTGTTGTTGTCATTTTTCTACAATGTTGCCTATGCATCCGAGTTAGCTCCAACAGGCATGCTCTAAAAATTTTGACACGCATGAACCAAAATATTTGATATTTCTTTTCGATTCTGTAAATTATAGGTTATATAAAATATCTGTTTTTTGCAGATTGAGTCTGGTTATGGTACGGGTTCGGAAAACAGCTTGAAGCGCCATGGCTCGACAGTCAGTCTCCAGTCAAACACGTACAGTACGGCGTCCGGTAGCAGCTTTAAACGCTCTTCGAGAAACATCAAAGAAAAACTGGCAGAAATTGAAACGTTCAAGGACATACTTTGCCGACAAATCGATACTCTGCAAAAGTATTTCGATTTTTGCGTGGAGCACAATGCCACCAGCTGTTTACCAGATGAAGGTTAGTATTTTTAAAGGCGTAAAGGCAATACTTTTGCTTTGTCACAACTTATAGAAATGTTTAAATGTTCAAGCATTGTATTTGCACATGTTTGTACGCGAAATCACGCGATTATCGAAGAAGGACTGCAATCGATGGATATTGACGTTGGTTGTGTGGCATGTTGCACCGTCTTGTTGGAAATAAACATCGTCCATATCCATTCCTTCAAGTTGCGGCAAAAAATAGTCCTCTATCATCACGTGATCTCGCTCAGAATTGACGGTAACGGCGTCCCGGCCGCATTTTCGAAAAAGTAAGGTCCGATGATGCCTTTTGACCACAATGCACACCACACAGTCACTTTTTGAGGATGCATCGGCTGCTCTTGATATTCACGGGGATTTTCGTTCGCCCAGATGCGGCAGTTTTGCTTGTTTACCGTCCCATTCAAAGTGAAATGCGCTTCGTCGCTGAACATGATTTTTGATGAAAAATTGGCATCAATTTGGCGGTGTTCAAGGAGCCAATCTGAGAACGTTCGGCGCGAAAAATGGTCGGCCCGACGCAGCTCTTGCGTCAATTGGATCTTGTAGGCGTGTACATTCAAATCCTTGTGGAGAATGCGGAGCAAACTGGTTCTCGAAATGCCCAATTCTTGGGATCGACGCGTTGTTGATTGTTTCGGATCGTCTCTCACACTCTCCTTCACAACAGCAATATTTTCCGGTGTGCGAACGCTCCTTGGCCGGCCAGAGCCTGCCAGATTTGCCACTGAACCTGTTGCCTCGAATTTACGCACCAGACGACCGATGGTTGTTTCGTTTGGGCGGTTGTTGCGACCGAAATGTTCACGAAACGCGCGAAACGTGTTTTTTATTTTTGCACCATTTTTGTAGTGCTCTTGAATAACTTTGATGCGGTCTTCAATCGAATACGACTCCATAGCGATCAATGGTAAACATTCAACTAACAAAATGACATGTCGGTGACAGAAAACAAAGATGGCGTCTATGTCAAATTGACGTTTACTTTCCTGCGTCCCTATTGGACAACCCTTTATCATCATTTATTTCATATAGTATGTAATTTTTTTAGTTTTTTAAAAGAATGTAATCGTAGCAATCATGCTAAATGAATGTTAAACACACAAATTTTATTCGTCTTGTCTAATTATTTTCTCTTTATACAGGGTGATTAACAAGTCACTAAAAATGCAACATCATACACAGGACCGCATTTTTGGGGGGTCTTCTATGCAACATTTTTTCCTAGAGGGCTCTAAAAACAGTGAGCTACTATTTTTATTTGGAAAAATAATGCCACCAATCCCCTGTATCTCCGCCACTGGTGCACGATCATTTTAACTAAAGACTTTTGAATGTGGACAAAACTTAGGTGAATCCACATACCAAATCTTAGTCCATTCCTGTTGATGGTTTTGAAGATGTCAAAATAATAATAATAATAATAATAATGCCTTTATTAGCTGCAGTGAGGCGAAGTTTAGCCAGATGGCTACTCTTACACTCAACCCCACAACAGGAAAAAATAATACTTAAACACATAAACAAAATAATAACATACCAAAAAAAAAATACAATTCATAAGAATGACAACATTGATTGCACGAGACAAATGCAGATAGTATTGCAAGAGTTTTAAATTTGAAACAAAAATAGTAGAAAATAGTCAAACAAAAAAAAAAAAATCACATGAACACAAGAAAAACTGAACTAAATGAACTCCAGCAGCTGACTTTTCATTAATTTCTTAAAAGAAACAACCTGTTTGGATCGATAGCCACCAGTGGCGGCTCGTGAGGTAGTGCCACGGTGCCATGGCACTACCTTGTCTTCTTCAAAAAGAATATTTTTTTCAATCTTCGATGTTTTACTTTATTTTCTGCTTTTTCATTTTTTTGGTATAAATTATATGAAGTGACAACACTGACAACGTGACAACACCGCAAGCACCCGACCGACGCGACGCGACGAGACGGAAAGCATGCCTTGACCTTGACGTCATCAACTTGTGCCAATTTTGGGCCGGCCCAAATAAAAAGAGAGAAATTTTACCAGCATCGCATACGAGCGACAGAGATAACGCTAGGCTAGCAATTTTTATATGAGGTGAATAGCGAAAGACGAGTATAATTTGTGCCAGGCACATCATCAGTCGTAATTCGTTATCAAATGATATCGGCGGTGTTTTTGTTCGGTCGGTCGTTTCGTTATGATTACGTCTAGTGCTGATTTCGGTCTTTATTTACCTGAAAAGTGAGAAATAACGTTTTTGTTTTAGTACGTCTAGTGTTAATGAACTGCTCTGTTTTGTGATCATTTTTTTTGCTGTTTTATTAAAACTAGTGAAAATGAATAAAATCGGGATATTAAAAAACTCATTTAGTGGTTTTTCGCTGGATCAAAATACCCGATTTAAAAATTGAGAAACAAAGTGGTAGCGGACAAAAATCGCGCTGTCGCAAATTTAATAAAAATGTGTACGATAAAAACAGCTGGATATGTGGTTGTGAAGAAACGAATAAACTATTTTGTTTTGTATGTGTTCTATTTGGAGGTGACGAGACTTGGTCAAAAAAAGGTACAGACGATCTTATACATATATGGGATAAAATGAAGACCCACGAAAAATCTAAAGTCCATATGAATAATGTTTTTAGCTTTTCTATTCTTGGTAAATTAAATATAAGGACTCAACTCAATTCGGCTTATCGCAATGATCTAATTAAACATAATAATCAAGTGGATAAGAATCGATATGTATTGAATAAAATTATTAATTGTATAAGGTTTTGTGGAGCATTTGAGTTAGCCTTAAGGGGTCACGATGAAAAGGAAAATTCGGAAAACAGAGGCATATTTAAGGAGCTGGTGAATTTTAGCGCCGAATTAGACAACGAATTGAAAGTCCATATTCAAAGTGCCAAACTTTTCAAGGGTACCTCAAAAACAACTCAAAACGAGCTTCTTGAGTGCATGCTAGATGTTTATCATGAAGAAGTTAAGAAGGAGATTGCAAATTCTCCTTTTGTTGCAGTAATTGCCGATGAAACGACTGACGTAGCCTGTGAATTTCAGTTAGTTATTATTTTCAGATATTTGTGTAAAGGACAACCAGTTGAGAGATTTTGGAGATTTTACGTCCCCGACGACACGATGCCAAATCAATCGCTGCATGCGTTTTAAATGTTGTAAATTCATTACTAGATCAAAATCCAAACAAATTAATAGCTCAAAGCTATAATGGTGCGTCTGTTATAAGTGGTGAATTGAATGGCATTCAAAAAATTATTAAGGAAACTTATCCACTTGCAAATTATGTTCATTGCTATGCACACCAGTTAAATCTAATTATGACAAGCGCATGCTCTGTCAATAAGCAGGCTAGAATATTTTTCCATAATTTATCTGGATTGTGCTCTTTTTTTTCGACGTCTCCTCAAAGAACAAAAATTTTGGATGAAATAGTTAATCGCAGATTGCCAAGATCTTCCCAAACACGTTAGAATTTTCAGTCACGAGGTGTTCATACAGTTTATGAAAATAGGAAAGACCTGATTGAAGTTATGGACAATATAGAAAGTACTTCACGCGATTCTTCGTCGATTAATCAAGCCAGTGGGTACAAATTAAAGCTGCAAGATACAAATTTTGTATTTTGGCTAAGTATTTTCCATAAAATAATGCCACATGTTGAAATTGTCTTTAACCAATTACAAAAAGTATGCACCGATTCTGTTAAGGTCAAAAATGATTTAGAGAATTTTGAAGCAGCAATTCAAACTATACGAGAACAAATAAATAGCATTATTGACGAGATTGAACGAGTGCAGAGAGAAGTTGAAGAAGGCAGCAAAAAACGGGAAGCGTTAGAAATATGCGATGCAGTATTATCGCAAATAAGAACAAGATTTAACTTTTCTGGGCATTTAGTTGCTTCTAATTTATTTGTGTCTGAAAAGTTTTCTGTTTATAAACATCAGTTTCCTGAAGCACATTTAAATGACACATGCACACAATTTTCATTTTTAGACAAAAACAGGCTTAAAACTGAGTTACAAGTATTATATCAGAGAGAAGAATTGAGTACTACTTCTGGAGCTGTTCCACTATCCATTTTATTGAACGAGGAAGGATTAAATTGTACGTTTCAAGAAACTCTTAAGCTCTTAAGTATTTTAATCACTATACCGATGTCAACATCTGAAGCAGAACGCTCTTTTTCAATGCTGAAACGGATTAAAACTTTCCTCAGAAACACAATGAAGGAAGAAAGGCTTAGTGCTTTAGGAATGCTGTCTGCAGAAAAACATTTTGTTAGTGGCATTGAAAATTTTAATAATAAGGTAATCGAAAACTTTGCTACCAAAAAAGAAAGAAGAATGGACTTCATATATAGAAAACTTTGAAGTTATAGGTACTTCTCCACACTTGTTTTATAATTTGGTGCGCGTGTGTAAATAGTTTTATTTTAGATTTTTTTTGGACATATAGATTTATTGAACCTCAAGAACTTTGACCACTAACTATCAGGGGTAAGTTATAAGTTATTCTTTACAATTTTGAATCGATTCAAAGTTATGGCTTCCATTCTGGCACTACCTCATTGAATTGGCACGAGCCGCCACTGATAGCCACTGTTGACTGCATTGTAATGCTTGACAGCATTATAGGTGTAACTTCCTTCAAAGACCGAGGTATTGTGAGGAGGCATGTTAAAATTAGCATTAAATCTAAGAGCTCTGGTAACAAAACTACCTCGGTGAACTAATTTGCTAGCGAGGTAAGCTGGTCTGTTAGATAATAGAACTTTATGCGTGAAGACGGTCAAAAGATATAAAAATAACTTATCAATTCGCAACCAGTTGAGTTATTTGATTTTATCTGAGACGCGACTAAACTTGCGCAATCCAAAAATAAACCTACAACAGCTGTTCTGAATTTTCTGGAGTTTCCTTTTGTGGACGTAGTCTAAACATGGGTAATAAAGAACAAGAGAGTAAGAAATGACAGACAACACAAGACTTTCAGCGAGCTTTTTTCGGGTTTTAAAATTCAAGATGTATCGATTAGAATAGAGGAGTTTCAAACGCATATACTTTACTCTAGATAAGAAAGAGACATGCCGATCGACTCTCATATTTAAGTCAAGGGTAACACCGAGATTCTTGGCGTAATCCACAAAAGGGATGAGTGTCTCATCCATTAAAACACAAATCCTCTGCTCATTTCACGGTAGGAGTTCTTTGAACAGTACAACATTGCAGTAGTTTTATTAGGATTGATCTTCAAGCAGTGTTTGTTACAGTAATCACCGATGTTAGCCAAATCTAAATTAACTTTAAAACAAACTTCATTAACCTTTGATGGATCGAAACCAAACACTAACTGAGTATCATCTGCATAAGTTTGCATACTACAGTGGAGTAAACAGTCTTGCAGATCGATCGTATAAATCAGATATAGTAAGGGACCTAATACTGAGCCCTGAGGAACTCCTGAAGGAACTGGCTCAGAGGAGGAAATTCCCTGATCAGTTTTCACTGTTTGTTGACGATTTAGCAAGTATGACTCAAAGAACCTTAGAACTATATCTGACATTCCATAATGAGATAACTTACTCAATAGTATCTGGTGATTGACCATATCAAAGGCTTTCGAGAAATCTAACAGTACCAAGACGGTGTTGATGTGATTATCTAAATTGTGAATGATGGAATCAGTAAGATGTAATAAAGACGAAGTAGTGCTGTAACCAGCTCTGAAACCTGACTGATGTAGAGGAAATAAATGGTTATGTTCGAAAAACTCCACTAGTTGTGAGTAGACAGCTCTTTCGATTATTTTTGATAGAAAGCATAATAAGGTAATTGGCCTGAGATCCGAATATTGTTCTGGATGATTAGTTTTAGCTATTGGAATAATAATACCATTTTTCCAACTGGCAGGAAAGTAACCTGTTTTTTTAATTTTAAACTTATCTTTTTAATGAACCCCGCGAGGAAAAAATGTTACAAAGAATGCGGTCCTGTGTATGATGTTTCATTTTTCGTCACGACTTGGATCACTCTGTATAACCACTCTTTGATTCCACTCTTCAAACATGGCGATCAACGAGGATGCTTTTGCGTTTCAGAAAATCTTCCAACGATCGATTTCAAAGGCGAGGCTATAACATTCAAAACGACCACGTCCGCGGTCATAGCTACACTCGCGCACTGCACCGAGCTGGTCTCGCAGCGGGAAGACGCTTGGAGGAGACGGCTGGAGAGGGAGATGGAGAGGAGGAGACGGGCCGAGCAATTGGCGAACGCTTACTTCGCGCAGTTGCAGAAGTGCGGGAACGCGCACCCGGGGCCAGATTTGGAGGTGAGTTGTAGTAGCATGTTTACCAGTTTACCGGACTGCATCGAAAGGAGGGTTATGTTTTTCGCGTGTATGTACGAGGTCTGTGAATTAAGTGATGAGGCTGGCAACGTAGCGTTCGATCTGGCAACACTGGAGGCGCCGTGCTTGAAGGGAAGACGGGGGACAGTGATGATGTTTTGGCGGTAATTACTGGCAATTGCCGGTTATGAGGGGAGTTGCCAAGAATGTATGCTTGCCAGTAATTTTCCACGAATGTTCAAAGTTTTTTTATTGATAACAGTCGTCATATTTGAACATTACACTATTCGTCAGGAGGGTATGTTATACGAGGGATATCTTTTAAGTTTTGCATATGGAAATAAAACAACACGGTAGGTATACTATAACTATCTAAAACTGTAATGACTCATCTATGTTCACGTGAACATCACTTAACTACCAGTAGTCGGCTGTTCATAGGCGGGGTATGAATGTTTAACATGGGTGAACTAGATTTGTCACATGCTTAATAAAGAGTGGTTTGAAACATATTGTAAGTCAAAAATTTGGGAATTACCTTTATTCATCGTCGCTTCCACTTACATCTGACAGTAATAAACTGTCGCTATCGCTTTCCTCGTTGAAATTGACTATAACTGGCTCTATGATGGTGTCGATGTGGTGGTCAAGCTGCCACATTTTTGTTTCTTCCTTCACAACATGACGGATAGCATTCTGCCAAGCTTCGGGCGTTACTAGCTGTATGGAAGTCTCAAGTAAAACCTTAACGTCTGGTAATTTGAAGGTTGTGTTATGGCGCGCAATATAACCCTTCACTTGAGCCCAGATGAGCTCTATTGGGTTCAGTTCACAGTGGTAGGGCGGTAACCGCAGCACAGTGACACCACATTGACGGGCCATCTCATCAGTCACGTAACTAGTGTTCGCAGGTTTGTGCTGTTTAATTTTTTCATACAATTCCGCTTTCACACATGAATCGTCAAACGGGATTCCTTTTTCGCGCAACCATTGCTGCATGTCACTTTTCCGAGATCCCATAGTCGGTACACGTTCGGCTCGACGACTATGGTAGGAAGCATTATCCATGACGATCACAGAGTTGGGCTCAACTCGCTGAAGCACCCCTTGAAACCAGCTCTCGAAGCAGCTGGCATTCATTTCGTCATGGTAATCACCTCCTTTCTTAGAGACGAAAATCAAGTCACACTCTTCTAAAAAGCCACTATCGCTACCAATATGAGTTACGATCAATCTTTGACCTTTCCCTGACGGTCCACGAAGACCTGTTGACAAACCTTCAATGCTTGCTTGTCGGTTACTCACTACGTTTTTGTCTATCCAGGTTTTTTTAACTGTGTGACCTGCATTTACCCATGTCTCGTCCAAATAATAGATTTTTCTACTTTGTCGCCTATATTCAATCATTTCGCGTAGGTATTTTCGACGCCAGGCGATTATTTCAGGTCTCTCTATCAATACTGAGTTCCGATTACGCGTTTCGTAACGAAAATTAATTTCGTGCAGGGATTTCCTCATTACCTCGACGCTCATTTGGGGTATAATTTCATTTTCCTTGATCGCTGCATGTACAGCCTTGATGGTTGGTATCTCATTCCTAAAGAAGAATGAATGTACGGTTCGCCTTAACGCCATTTTGCTATCGTCATCCAATTTAACGGCCTTTCGTCCCTTCAAATTAAACTTTGGATCAGTAGTAGCTCCAGTTTTCTTCTTTTCATGCACCACCCTGCGAATGGTCCACTCTGGAACGCCTGTCATACTTTCACAACGCGCGAGTGCATCTCCCTGCGACATAGTTCTGTTCAGATAATTGAACACGTTGAGCACGATTTCTTTTGCGTCCCTCTTCAGTGCTTTACGAAGCCGTCTACTTGTTCCCTGGCTTTCAGTACTTCCACTCGTGCCATTTGTACTCTCCATGGTTAAGTATAACCAAAACAGTAACCACAGAAACCACAACAATAACAATCACACAACAATTCTTATAAAAACACACAATATGCGATCGCTCAACGAAACACGTTCCAATGCGTTGCCGACGCCTATGAGTCTGCTGGTCGAGGTGCGTCTTTGATTTCATTGGTTCTATCGGCGGAGAACAGTCAGCCATTATTTCCATCTCTGTCTGTGCTGTTGACCACCGCAAAGCCACAGAAACGACATATGTCGTACGCTATACGGCTGTACTGGAAGGAAGCCGGGATCGAGCTCTGATCACGTGTTGATCACGCGTATGAGTCATTACAGTTTTAAATAGTTGTAGTATAGTTTTAAATGACTTTATTGGTTTTCGAAGTATTCTCCACGAAGATTAATACACATCTGCATGCGCTCGAACCAATTTTCGAAGCACTTATTCCACTCGTTTGCTGGCAGATCCAAAACGGCATTTTTGAATACGTCAACTGCTTCTTCTGGTGACTGGAACCTATGACCACGCAGTCTGTTTTTAATTTTCGGGAAAGTAAAGAAATCGATAGGACTTAGATCGGAACTATATGGAGGATGGTCCAATAAATTCACGTTTTCTTCCTTTAAATACTGCCTTGTTTTTTGAGCAGTGTGCGAGCTTGCATTGTCTTGGTGGAGGATGATTCTTCTTTCGGGGTTGATTTTTCGAAGCTCGGTGATGACTTTTGGCAAACAAATGGTGGTATACCAATCCGCAGTAACAGTTCTTTGCTCATTAAAAGGAATTGTTGCAATATTCCAACGGGAAATTTTCGACTGATGTGGCGCTTCGTTGCCGAAAACAGACAGTAACTCAGCAAGGCATTCTTGTTGCGATAATTGTCTCTGAAAGTTGTAATAAATTATGGCGCGAAAATGTTCTCGGTTATTGTTGTGAAACTTACTAGTTTACTAAAGAGTGAGGTTAAGATTCAGTACTGACGTACTCTTGTATAATAAAGCTTATACCGATCTTCAATCGTGAAGCTATTTGAGTTTATAATAAAATTCTAGAAATTGTGATGAAAGGCTTAAAAATAATCGTAAAAAGTAATAATCAGTATAGTTCCTATTGTAGACCATTAAACGACTATTTTATCTTGAAAATACAGACAATAGTAATTTTGCATTATACAATTTAAATGCAACTACCCGTAATTTCCTGGACCATATAAAAAAATCACGACCAACGTTCGAACATTTTTTGTTCTTGATGTAATAAAATCGTTCTTCCTGTCGCTCGCCCCCGTGAAAATAATATATTCATATTCCATCCTGTATAATTTTAATTTTACAAAATTATCCGTCAAAGTCATCCTATCGTGTATGACCTAATAATCGCGGTGAGTTCCCTCCGCGTCTTCGTATTTAGAGATGAGACACAATTACGTATCAATAATATTCAGCCCTTAACACTGCAGAAATAACTTTGACATGTCTTTAGTGAACGAATATCTAGATGCGGTGAGTGCACTTTCTGTAAATGTAAACACTGAAAACTACCCTGTTGTTGTTTCGCTGATCGTCTCACGTTATACAGCCCAATAAATCGAACCATATGCAGGGTGTTCATTAAGTATATACCATAAATTTGACAGACGATTCTTTGGGTAATTTTAGGACAAAAATTTCATACAAGCATAGGCCCGCATATCCTTCGTGTTAAAATAAAAAAAAGATTTTTCGTTTGTCTTAAAATTGCTCAAAGAATCGTCTGTTAAATTTATGGTACATCTTAACACCCTGTATCTTGGATTCTTCATTAACGTCTGAAACTTATCCTGTGATTTTTATGCTAATACATCTTCACGATTTTCGGCCCTTAAACGAAACCACATATTTGCATAACTGTACTAACTACATAAATTTCTGGTTTCGTTTACCGGCCAGCACTTTTTTATTAACGTTTAGGCTGATCCTGTATCCTTTTCAAAGTTCAGACGATAGCGGTTTGATTTATTATTCAGTACAACAACTTTCTGTGCTCTTTTTCATAGTTGATTATAGTTTTTGCTGAATCCAACTGAGTGTAATGATGATTGAAGCAATAACTGGATTGAATAATGAACGCAAGTTTATTGATTTTGACAGAGGTTAATCTTTATCCGATTGTTTGTAATAACTTTTAGATTACATTATTCACTGTAGCGTTACGAAATTCACTCTACCTGTTATCTGTCCAACATTATGCTGCTCTCCATAAATCGGAAGGTACAGTTCGCGTTTTGATGAAATTTTGCAGATATTTAAAACAACTAAAATTAGTTTTTTTCTAAATTTATTTGGGTAGTTGAAAGTTCATCGAAACCAGTCTTAAATAATGTTGGCCTTGACAACGACCTTCAGTGCTCTTTCAAGGTCATGTGAACATTTTCAAATGAAACTCCCCTTTTCTACATCTGAATTGAAAATAGGATCAAATTTCACGACCGAACATCACCTTGGCCATGCCCTTGACCATTGTCTTCAAGGCCACTTCAAAGCCAAGTCAAAACATCGAAAATATATTTCTCTAACAAAAACGTTCAACAGCACATTGTGAGATTCAAAAGGTGACCTTGACTATGACCTTCAAGGTCAAGTCAAAATTTCCAAACGAAACCTCTCATTTTTATACTGGAAATGGAAAAAGCAGGAAATGTTACGTCCGAATGTGACCTTTACTTCAAACAATATTGACCTTGACTTTGAAGGTCAAGGTACATTTAGGCGTAACATTTCATGCTTCTTCAATTTCCTGCATAAACAGAGAGGTTTCCTTTGAAAGATTTGACTTGACCTTGAAGGTCATGGTCAAGGTCACATTAGGGTGATCCTCGTAAACCTCACAATAATTGTGTGTTTTCGATGTCTCGATTTGAATTTGAAATGACCTTGAACGCGATGGTCAAGGTCATGGCCAAGAAGTTCCTCGAACACGAACTCTGCTCTTATTTTCAATTATTCATTCACTTGACTCTGAAAGTCGTACTAGAGGTCATTGCCAAGGTCACCATCATTTTGCATTCTCTAAATCCTACAACCTTTGT